AAAATATAACGAAAATGGTGATGGTAATATAAACAAAAAATAAAAAATAAATGCGAATGCCCAGATGGGTAAATGTGTAAGGCAAACTTGACCCTAATACTGGGGAACGTTGCAAAAAATAAATATTGTGAGCCAACAAAGCGCCTTGTTAGATAAGAGTTTTAGTGTTTTCCGCTGAGGTGGGCACACCAATTTCATGGATAAATAAACCGAACCAATAATGACATCACTACTTGTTTGGGCTCACACACTTTATCGGAATTTGCATGTCAAGTGGTTGGATGAAGAAAAGATTCTTTTTAGGCGAAATTGAACAACAATCTCTCCTTGAGCACACAACTAAATTAATAATTAATACGTCGCCCAAATCTTTGCCTTTAATGGCCAGCGGTTGGTCGCCATACATTTATATGTTAATTTCCTGCATTCTCCATGATTTATTATTTATTCAACACTTTGGCTTATGCAAAATCCATTTACAGCCGCCCACAAAATAGTTTAATCCCTAAACTTGCAGAAATAAGAAAAAATAACTCCAAATGAAAAAGTACCACAATTTATTTCCGGCGCCCACAGCAAAAACTGTTTACTCGCTTAACGCTGCCGCTGTTCGAAAAAGACGAATAAATTTGCGCGCTCAAAGGAAAAGTTGTGGTTCTTTTTGTCGGGTGCTTACTGTCGGCGGTTAAGTCTCAGCAATGCTCGTCAGCCCGTCAACGGATAACCACATGGCACCCACGTCATCCTCAGCATCATCTGTGGCCAAGAGTTATCAGCTCAGCGATTGCTTATCTGCAAATAGAAATGTACTCATGGGGATCCAAGGTCGCATCCAGCTCCAGCTGAGTTGAGTTCATTAGCAGGTTCTCTGAAAATGAAATCCGTGCAAAGGTAGTAATTCTATCTTGAATACTCGGAAAATATAAGCTGAGCTTAAAGCCATTTCATATACCAACTGCATCGGATTAAGTACCAACTACACCGCATTGAGTTACTATTCTAATGAACGCAATTATTGGTAGTAAGACTGGCAGTGCAGCGCAAATTAACACCAAGCTGCAATTCGCAAGAATTTCCCCCACGGATTTGCCCTGGATATCCTGTTGCCTGTTCTGGAAAGCTTCTGCTCTGGCCATGCGCCGCAAATTAAATATAATTTCATTGTGATTAAATGGCACTGCGCAATTATGCTATAACATTGTTGATCAAGTTATTTCTTCAGCCAGTTCAGCCAGCTGCCTCCTCAGTCTCGGCTTTTCTCTCGTTTCCCTGGTTTTTTCTGCCCGGCTAATTTACTTTGCGAGTTGCCTGTCATGGCAACTGCATTTGGTGTCTCTGGCTTGTCGCTTTGTGTCGCTCTGAGTGCACTCTTCTCCGTATCCATGCATTACATGCACATTGTATGAACTACAAGCTCATTGCTCATTCTGGCGCTGCTTTGGTCTTCTTGGCTAATTGCGCCAAAGTGCGAACAAGGCTGGCATTCGCAATGACAGCTTGGAAGGCGCTGCTCAGCCCGTTCAATCTGAATGATGGCCAAGTTATTTTCCCGACGGCCAACGGGTTCCGTTCGATGGGCTGATTACTTGTCCCGCGGCCTTCTCCCATGCTGCACTGCATCCCAGCCTTGACGGCGTGAAATGCGCTATCAGAATCGCCCACCTGCGACCTTGTGCTCGCCCACTTTCCATTTGAAGCCACTACGCCCACTCGCAACGAAAACAAACAGGCTCCTGGTGGGATTCACTGGGATCTGGTTGAACATGGAAAGAAAAACTAGTGAGTGTTTCAACAGAAAGATTTAAAGTGGTATTTAAAACGGAATGTATCTTATACATGTTATCTTAAAGTTCGAGTTTGTAAAATGCAAAAATATATTTAAGTACATGTGTTTAGGTATCTTTGTGTAGAATTGAAGTAACTTTTCCCCCATTGCACGTGCAATGTGCATCCTGTCGTTGGTTTCATGTTGACGCCTTTTAAACCGGTTAAATGGGCGTGGCAAGTATTGACATGGTTTTCCTAGCTGCCGCCTACCTCGTCTGTGAGTAAAAGTAGGTTGCTGCGGTCAGGTGGCATCAGGTGTGCTTGCAACTAATCCACTTTCATTGCTAAATAATGCGTTCTGTGGCTGCACCACTAAATGTTATTCACATTTTACACCCCTGCTATACCACTTCCCAGTGGCTGTCAAACTGCGAGTGGAGAATTGGAAAAGTGGAAAGGGCGAAGCCAATGATGGATGAAAAGGTCGATAAACCAAAAAGCAAACACTTTTATGGTTTGTTTGGGCTCGTCTTTACTTGGCTTGCGTCCCGACTTCTTGTTGTTTATGTCAGTCCGGGTATATATGAGGAAATTGGTAGGCAAAAGGTCATAGTAGGCCGCAGCTTTATTTAATAACTTTATTAAATTGAAAATTATGGCATGAATTCTTCATATTTTTTCTCAGTACCTTGGATTTGTCAGTTGACATCACTTGAGTTATAGAACGGACCTCGTGTGATGCATTATTCAATTGCGCGAGTGCGTTTCGCAGGCGCATCAATCACACGCCACGTATGCTGCATATTAATAAATCCCAATTATTGGCATAAATCATGCGTCATGGGATGCGAAAAATCTCGACTGTCGCTCACATCACTCACACACTGAACTCGCTGGCGGGCGGAGTAATCTCGGAATTAATAATTAATTAATTAACTGGCCGCGTGCATGTACATTTCCCACTCTAATGGACCGCTTTTCTCGCCCCCCACCCCTTGCCACCCATCGTGTTTACTTCATAAATGTTAAACAACAGTGCGAGATAGCAAGACAACAAAAGCAAGCACTGGCAAAAGGAAAACAACTTGCCGCTTTTGGCCATGACTCGGTTGAAGCGAGTTCAATACATACATAATACTATACAATTTAAAAATTCAAAATCAAATAATATTTCATTTATTTAAATACGTTTGTTTTCGGAGTCACATATTTTACTTCATTAATAACAAAACTGCAAGAAATGTGGGTATACTAATATTTCCACCTCCGCTGTAGAAAGAGCGTAAATACAATTTGTAGCGGGTGTAATGAATAAGTAAAAAATAGCTAGGAGTGCAAACTCATTACGGAAATGAACGCGCAAGAATATTGTGAGTGGGCAGACAAACGAGCCAGCGCAATCAGTGATCTAAACACACGGGAACGAATGGCTGCTTTCTACACATAATGATTTCGCTTAATAAATCAAGATGCAACCGATGCTGGGTGGCGCTTACTGGTTTCAATTTGTCAGGGGCTTAAGTGGCAGGAAGTTTTCGCAGCTTTCCATCGCTCTGTTGTCATAAAAAAATACGCATAAATTGACACCCACAGCGGAAGTTTTTGTTTTCTGTCGCCGAAAAGGCAAACTCAATTTGTTGGCGGGGCTTCGATGCGATATCTCTGTGGAATGGACGAGTGTGTATGAGGTCACGTCACTCCACGTTGACCCCAGAGCCACGTGCCTGAACTGCCAGATTGCGCATACGCCTAGTTTCGCCTTGGTTCGCCATCAAAATTGATATAATAATTGTGGAAATCCTACGCCTCAAAGGAAAAAAGAGCGAGAGAGGAGAGGAGAGCGAACGAAGTTGCCCTCGCTTACATGCAAATATCGGGGTATAAGGGAGGTCAAAGTTCAAGCACAAAACCGCTTGACATTTGCCATAAGACACACACACAAGCGCGCAGCGGCCCCTAAAAGAAGAAATAAATACTGCAAACTGTCCCTGTCACACAGGTTGAAAAGCGTGCTTGCCAAAAGTAAAAGTTTTCTATGCTACTCAGGCACTTAGCCAAAATGCGTGTTTTATATTTGTATTTGGTTTTAATTTATTCATGCTCAAGCTACAACCAAATTCTGACCTTTTAAAAGCATATATTGCTTTCACTGTGAAATTATTCCCCATGCACAAGGTAAAATGCAAACTTTTCGGTGGCTTTTTAGTGGTAATGTGTGCCTGTTCCGTTTCTGGAATATTAAGTATACGACAGGTTGCCCGCAAACAGGTTGCCACAATTCCAGTTGCCAGCTGAAGCAACGCATCCTCCAAGCTGGGCTGCGCCAATTATGGCACGCACTCATTAGTGTCCGCTCTTGCATCCCGCTTAGCCCGCCACCCCCTCCCCTGCCACGCCCCCTTTGCGCCCCAAGTTGAGTTTACCGTTGGCCAACCTCATAAACCAGATAATGCCTCTGCCGCAATTCTGTTTCTGTAGCTGGCTTTGGTTCTCCTGCCGTTTAATGAGCTTTGTTTCTAGTTGCTGCTATTTCAGCCATCATGTGGAGCACACGATGCCCACGTACCCCGATCCGATCCCTTCCTGCTGCTGTCTCTGGCCAAGTCCCCAGGTCTTCCCGATGCTTGAATTGGATTGCTGGTGTGGCATTGTGACATGCCCCGCCATCTGCAGTTGGTCCCGGAGCAATTCTGCATAGTGGCACAGTGTCACTTGGATGTTCTCCGCTTCAACATCTGCTATTGCAGAAGTAATTAGAAATTTCCCAGTATTTAATATTCAGTTACCGTTTAAATTTATCTTGGCCAACAAGCTAAAATATTTTGTAATAATTTATATTATATAAATTAGGAAATGGCACCGTGCTACGTTTATCCAACTGACCCATCAGCAGATCGATGCCTTTGCATTCTTTCAACACTTGCATCTCGGCCTCTGAATTTTCCAGCTTTTCCCCCGTCAATGTCCACTTTCGTGCCATCTCCGGCATCTTGTTTTTTCACGCCTTGTGGCAGTTACCGTTGCAGCACGTTTTTCGTTTTGTTTTGGCTATTTTGTTTTGATTTCGCTGCTTCTACTCGGAGCTCCCAAACACAGCGGCAGTCTGAGCACACAGATACGAATACGCGGGGCGCACACAGATACTCACAAACACTTGCTCGCGTTTTGTTTTAATTCTTTTGCTTCGCCGAGTAGGAGATAAAGAACGAAAACGCAGCGCACACAGGCAGCCCCGAGTTCTAGATACTTTTGTCTAGCGTTCGCCGCTCAGTCGCAAAATCGTTTAGCGCCGAGACGGACGGCCAAGCCGTTGGGAAATTATTCGAAACAAAATAAAAAAATACGGGAAAATCGCTGAAACAACAGCGAAGCGAAGACGACACGTCGAGTGTCTCTTGTTGTAACGTTGACGCGAGTGAAAAGCGCTTTTCTATTTTCGCCTCAAGTGCAGCCTCCTCGCTGCTGCAAAACCCAAAAAAAAAAAACTGAAAAAAATCGAGAAAAAAATCCCCAGCAACGTTTCGCTTTTACACAAAATAAACACTTGACGCGTTTGTCTTACTTTCTAAAATAAAATAAGAAAATCCGCAAGAAGATCTGAGAAAAGAAGCTAGACGACCGCGTTTTTGGGCGGGCCAATTTTAGCCAGGTTGACAAAATGCTGGCCCTCAAGGAGTGCCTCATACGGGAGGGTGTTCTCAATCTGGACAGCCCCGAAAAGTACCGGCCTTACCATCTACACGGCAGCAAAAGCAGCGGTGCCATGGATTTTCCCCGATATCGCAGTTAGTATCCCTACATTCCGGACAGCATTACGCAGTTGATAGCGGGTATCTGTCAGATACGCCTTTTATGATACGTCTTTTATGAGATATCTTTTGCGGGTGGCAGTTTGTAAATATAGTAGGGAAAATACCTTCTATTCCAAGTGTTATTTATAGATGGAACGATCATTAGGGAATGATAGATCTAAAAGATCGAATCTGTAGGATACACAGTGGCGCTGGTTGCACTTGTGAATGAGCAAATAAACTAAATCTGTCGCCTGAATCATTCTCTAGCCCAGCTTTAACTAATTGAGATTTCAGTATATGCTGAAAAAAGAACCAGAACAAAAATCCACAGATGCCCATATTATAATTTACAACTAAAGAACTAAATAAATTGTCAATCAAAATGTATTAAAGATATCTTTGTATTACTCATTGCTCCTAACGATTGCTCATTATTTGTGCTATTTTAAAGCGATTTTTTATAAAAGTGCCCTATTTGTTATGGCAGCTTGTAGACTCTGCCCCGAAAGAATCGGTTTTCATTCCAATTAGTTATTTTTAACGCTGGCGTCGCACAGCCGAACAGTTGTCCAGCTATCTGTGGTATTTTCTATATAAAAGCGCCTGTTTTTTCAGTGGATTATTGTTTAATAACTGTTAACGATTCGTACTGCTATTGTTTACCAACAAATTTCCACTGGGGTATTGTTTTTCCTTATTTTTGTCTTCTGCCCCAACCCTTCTTTGTCTGAAAACATAGTTTTTTTTTCCAAAGTTGGTGATAAAGCGAGACAAGTTACCCGAACCCGGACCCAGAAAGATTTTGTCATTTGTCTATGGTGTGCGCGGTGTTCCTTTGTTTTACGCTCGATTGTTGGCGTTTGTAGACCCGGCCAGCTTTTATTTCATTTCGATTGTCTTTGCATATTTCTCTCTCTAAGTCTTGATGTATGGCCATTTTATTTGATTGTAAAGGGCTTAAGTGCTGAGAAGAGGGCTCCAGTTCGATGCCTCAACCTGCTTATAAAGTTGTTCCAATCAGAGGTCATTTGTGTAACGACCTGTTATCCAATCTTGGGCACAGAACGAACGAGAAAGATACTTTGGCCAAGCGGATTAGTGCCGATGGCTATCAATAGAGTAATTTACTTGGGGGAATTAATTTCTTATTTATGTAATCTACCTTAAATGATTGAAAGTGGTCCTAGGGTGCGAGATTTATTACTATACTATGAAATGTTATAAAATACATGGATGATTGAGACTAGAAAAAGTTAAATGATCTATAAATAGGCTTTCGATACTTCGATACGTTACTTATCATTTCATTTGGAGAGTGATGCATGCGAAACCACCAGGGAATCACTATTACATATGACTTGGACATAGCTTATCGGGGTACAAACAGCAGTTTTCCTCGAGTGTAAATTTCACCAGCTCACGAAAACCGAGTACTTATGGTTTCGATTACCAAGTTGAAGAAATGTAGAAATGTGTTGACTCAAGCTTTATTGAGGGTCACTCGCCCAGGGTCATCCTGGCTTAATATCCACTTCCATGCACTCCAGCCCACGCTCAATAACTTTTCTTAACCCAATTTCCTGCGATGCTGCCACCCACATATCCATCCGCATCCGCATCCATCAACGGCTTCCCAGGCGCTCTTTTAACTGCTTTTGATTGCCAAACATGAAATTACACAATTTGATGCTGCACTCGTCAAAAGTTTCCCAAGATTCTCCCCGGATGGGAAGCCCATCAAAACCCGGGCCACTTTATGACCGATGTCGATAGGGAGTTTTCTGGCTGCTGATAATTAAATGTGTGCTTATTGCATAAAAAAGTGAGGCACTTCGGGGGGGCAGGAGTGGGAGTGCATTTGGTCGTGGGCAGCTTGCCCTTGCATTTAAAAATAATCCCAAAACGACGTTGCAACATTTCGCTGCCGGCCTCTTCTCTTTTTCTGCGGCAAGCAGCAAACTGCAAACTGTAAATAACGAGACGGCAGCCACTTCTGTAAAATGCAGTTTTTTCCTCAATATTGATTCAACTTCTGCCTTTTTTCGTCCCTCCTTGTTTTTTTCCGTTGCGTTGCAGCCACACACGTATTTATAGACATTGGATGGCTTTTCTGAGTACATTTGCAAAAAGTAAACGGTCTTCTACTTCAATCTCATATGCAATAATCTATGTATTTAATTGATATTTAATTGATATTCATTCAGTTTGACAATACATAAGAAGTTCAAATTTAATTTTCACATTAGAGGCTTTGAATCATCCGCACCGTTTTCAAGCCTTTTTTCTAACAGTGCACCTTTTTCTGGTCTGCCTCCGACTGGGATTGCCTTGACAATATGATATTTTTGCAGCAAGTTTAAGCCGTGCCCGTGCCCCTGCCCCTGCCACTGCCACTGCCCCCCCTTATTAATTATGCAACCTGGGACTGCGGCACAAGACGCAAGAAGACAAGAGCCAATCGATCAATCAGTTGGCTGAGTTGGCTGCCACACACAGAAGCGTTTGGTAATTCAACGCAAAGAAGCCGCAAAAATGTTGACAGCATTTTGTTATTGCATCTGTTGTTTCTGTGTGTTTCTTAGTGTTAGATGTGTAATTGTTATTGTCCCTGGAAGAGTTTTTGGTTACACGAACTCCCAGCTGTTTTTACTGCCCATAATAATTAGTCAAAGTTTCTTTGGCCGTAAGAAATCGCTTGCCAAAGCTGTTTGCAAATCGCTTTTCTCGTATAACCCATAAGGCAGCGTGCCAACGACTTGGTATATTTATTTTTCTGGTTTGAATTTGGATTTTGGCATGCAACCCATTCATATATGTTGGAGAATCCCACGCTGGCAACTTGCCTAGCAGGATTTTCATTTGCAATTTGTTTATGGCCAGATTTAGGCATTGCGTAAATGCATTCGGGAAATATAATATTTTGGTGAGTTTTTGATCCATTTTTCAACAGCGAGCCCTATTGAGCTGCGTACATTCAACTTTCGGCCATTGTCATACCGAAAGCCCATTTTCGACTTGTTGTTTTTAAACATTTCACATCTTTGTGGTGTGTTGGCAAAACAAAAACCAAAGCGAATATTTGCTTTCAATTATTTCTGTTTTTTCCCGGAAAGGAAATTTGCTAGCGATAAGCGCGAGAGGTGTGCATGTCTTGTGTTTATCTTTGAGTTCAATATTCTTTTATACACATTCTCCGGTTTACAGCCGGCGAAAAAGTTCTTAATTTCCCCATAAATTCTATATTTGTTTATGTCAAATGAACACGAAACATTCTCCATACTTTGTAACGAATGCTTTCGACTCACTGAACTACATATGCAGTTTTCACCCCATGGCATTTGCGATTCATAGAAAATAGCTTAACACGTGCTCAGCTCCCACCAGATTTGTCGTCTTTATACGCTTTGCTATACAATTGCCAATTAAAATGTATTCTTGCACTTGACTTGGCACAGAAAAGTTTCTCAGGTGTTAAAAAATAGACGCGACCAGAAATCCCATGCGATTTTGTTGAAAAGAATTCAGACAGAAATTCATTTAAACGTAAAACGAAGGAAAAACATTTAACTAATTAAGAGAACCCAAAAAGAATGGCGCTTAGCAACATGTTGTTTCACTTTTTTAATTGGGCGTGGGATGTGACACGAAAGCAGGGGCAACATAGGGGTTAAACAAGCCCTTTAATTTCTGATTGGAATTAAAGAGGGTTTATGGGGACTGGAAGGTTCAGGGGCATGTGAGTTGGCTGTTTATAGAGTTAAAACTATGACACAATCTCGCCCACACTCGTCTGGTTTTCCTCTTTTAATTGAATAACAAACATTTGTGTGTAGTTTTGAGTTGAATAAAATTCTTAGTTTTATTCGGTTCTTTACTGATGACTTCAGTAGAAATGAATAATTGCGAACAATGCCACAAATATTTAATTTTTTGAAAATATTATTGTGGACTTAATTGCAAGCCACGTTGTTTCAGTCGCAAAACCGGCTTCTTTTTTGTACTTCTATTTTTCCGATCGACAAATTGACTTTTGCTTTGTGGCTGTTTGCCCTCATCGTCTGATAAGATATGCGATCTTACTACTATACTACTGTTTGCACTCGTGAGATGTGCTAACTGTTTCAATATTTGAATTTCACTAGGCATTCGTAATTGCTCGCCAAATATATTCCACAGATCACTCCCCACTCTCTCTCTCTATTTGCCTGTTAATTGTATTTGTATAATTTTTCCACATTTTTGACTGCCTGTCATAATAAATTAGGCACAAAAAATTCGCTGAGCTCTTGCATTTGTTCAACATTTGGCCAAAAAGGCTGGTATTTTATTTGTGCACATTCGTGAAATTCCTTTTGGGCTCTTGGCATTTGAAATGTGCGCAGCAGCTGTCAAATAAGTGGTTTATATGAAATAGTTCCATTACTTTCTGTAACGAAATAACCAAATTTTTCGTTTGAGCTCTATATACTTATGACATTAATTAGGCCCTCGTGCGCCTTCCTTCTTTACCAATTTTTCCCCACAGAGAGCATAACTAATCGCTCATGCCGTGCAGTTGTCGAATGAGATTTGCATTTACATCTACAGTCACTGCCAAAAGTACGCGGCCCGCAAAAACTGCACTTATTGCCAGAGCAGAGCAGATGCTTGGCTATAAAAAGCAGGCGGGCAACCCTCACCTCACCTTGACATGGTTGTAGGTGTTTAGTGGGTGGAGATGGGGATGGGAATGGGGCGGTCCAAGATGAGGGGCGTTCTGGGTTGGCTGTAGAGCATGCAATATATTAATCCGAGTGCTCAGGTGCAATTTAATTGCTGCCAAGATTTGCTTTTTTTTACGCGCCAAGTGCGGTGCGGAAAAAGTGAATTAGAAAAGCAAACACACGGGTGTCGGAGGGGGGAAACTTTGCACTCGAAAAAATGAAATATGCAAATGGGTAATACAATTAGTTATAAAATAAAAAAAAGCAATGTAGCTGTCTAAAAATATGCAATCTGAAAGACGCTGAATGTAATCATTAAATCTTAAAATACTAAATATTTCATTCCCTTTTGCCAAGTGTAATAATCCCCCCGTTTGGGGACATCTTGCTGCATTAAACGGAAACGCCATTGGGGGAATTGAGTTAACTTTACTTTTCATTTGGCCCACTCTCACTCACGGTTCTTTCTCCCCTCTCGTTCGCAGAAACCATTGCGGCCTCAAGTGACTTATCCACAGCACCTGCCACTGCCAAAACCAGCTGCCAGCCACCTGAGCCACTAAAACAGAAGCAACCGCAGCAGCAGACCACCAAGGACTCGGAGGACTCCAGTTCGCAGAAGAGTGCTCCAGTCCAGTCGTATCGTGGTCAGCATCCGCACTTCCACCACCACACCACGCCCGCTTACTATACGGATCTCCAGCTGAGGATACACACGCCGAATGCATCGGATGTGGGCGCCTTGAACGAGAACTATCGAAGTGTTTACAGTACGCCGAGCACCCAGCTGGTGGAGCAGCGATCGTTTCCGAAGAGCTCCACGGCCACAAAGGATCCACCGCTGCCCATAAGCAATCCGGCCAGGGGAACATTTTTTCGTGGCGACTCTGCGTCCAGCGACAGCCACTCAAGACTCCGCCGGAGTCAGCAGAGAACCGGCAGCGAGGGACGCTTCTTCAGATACTCTCAGGGATCTGCGAGCCCTACCAAAGGTGAACCTCCATTCGGCCACGAAGGTGGTGCGCAGCCACCCGTTGTCGCCAGTCACTCCCCCATCACATCCACCAGCACCACCACCATCAGTAGTTGTAACCCCGTAGAGCAGGCTAGTCCACCACCAAACGTAGTTAATCCCAGCGGATCCGGTCGCAACAGCCGGCACAAGCAGCGTTTCCAGAGTCGATCTCGGCGAGCGGTGCGCGTGCGCAGTGAATCGCGTCCAATTAGCGCCCTCTACGACATAATATGCAAGGAGAAGAACCTGGAAAACAGCAGCAGCAGCAGCAGCAACGAGCAGGAAAAGAAGAGGGATCAGGAGCAGCCTAAGGCCACAACCGACAAGCTGGCGACCTTTTGGCCCCTGCACCATCACTACCTCAATCCCCCGATGAGCAGCGGCAACTCGGGCGGCAGTAGCGGCAATCCCAAGCAGCAGCAGCAACAGCAGCAAGAGCAGCTGGGACACCAGCAACATCTTGTGCTAGGAGCATCCAAGGAGTTGCCCGCGGGCAGCAGCAGCAGCAGCGATGAAGAGGGATCGTTGCGCACTCTGCACTCCAGTCGCAAGGTGACCAATCTGAATGCCAAGGCCACCTCTCTGCCACCCGAGGAAGGACTCTTGGGTGATGTCTCCCTTGAGTCGTCCTCCAACCGACTGAGTCTGCGACTGGCCAGGAGCCTGGAGCCCTCAGTCCGTAATATCACTGCATCCGCTTCCCAGGAAGTGCAGAGCTACGATGCGGGGGAGCCCGTGAATACCAATCGATTGTTTGTGGAACCCCCCAAGATAGCACTGTCTGTCATCAGAAACACGCTCGTCGATCACGACCTGGAGATCGAGGAGTGCGACAGCACCACCCAGTTGGGTCAGGAGGATGTCTACGATACCCTCGAACGCTGGAGTCTCGGGCTCTGCGCGGAGCCGCAGCTATTGAACGGCGCGAATGGTTACGATCAATCTGATCCCGAAGCCGACCATCAAACCGATCATCAGCATGCACATCAATCATTGCCAGTAGAACCCAAGTCTCATCATCACCAGCCCCACCAGGCCACCAATGCGCGCAGGTAAGCCGGAGCGACCCCATCCCCGCATGGTATCCATATCCCCAAAAACATCACCCCTAAATGTATCTATATGTTGCGGTGGCAATTACGCGCATAATTAGTTTCCTTTTCGCCAGTCGTTAGCCAAGGAAAGGTTGTCCTGATTACGCGCAGGTGTTGGGTGTCCAACTCCCCCAGGTTTAGTTATTCCAAGCCGGTTAATTACGCATCGATGAACAGCGGCGGTTGGAAAAATAGGAATTTATCGGAGTTTCTGCTCTGGTGAATCGCTAGAACTCAAATTAGAATACATCATCATTCCTAGCAGTTTTCTGTTCACCAAAAGTTATATTTCCAAATTGATTCAACCAATTACCACAACAAAGTACGATTTTTGGAACCACAGTGTTTTCTTAACGTGCTATTTGTTTAACCGCCACTGTGATTGTGTGTGCTTTGATTGGAATTACTCGAGGGTCATCAAGCTGATTACCGTTGAGGGTGAAAGCGTTTTGTTCTCGGAAGTTGTGGCTGATTAAACAGCAAACGTAATGCGATTTTGGTTGTGCGTATAATTTTATTAAAGCGGAAACTTAGTTCCAAGCTAAACTCTCTCCACTTCTGCGGGTCTAATCCGTTTTAAGGCTGTACCGGTACGGCCATAATCCTTGGCGCACAATCAAAACAAATTGCATGCATTGTGGGCCACCTCTTTCTTGTTGAGATCCATATGCCGTACCCTGCGCTATATGCCATCTTCACCCATATTGTTCGACATCGCGTTATACAATGCGACTTGGCGGCCCTCTTTAAGCCGGGCCCCCAAACAAATCGAGATTCACAGAGGTGGGGGCAGGGGACAGGGGGCTTGTTAACAAACGAAATCCATGTATTGTTCGCCTCTTTTCCGTCGGCTGTTACGTGGTCCATTGTCTTGGGGTTGAGATTGGGATTGGGAATGGTCTTTGGGTTTCGGCTTGGGATCGTATCGCAGCGGCGACATCTTCGACAATCGCGTCAGTGCGTGGAGTGCAATTTGCAGCGGCAGCCGGTGTTTGGTTCCATCAATTATAATGTGATATTTCAAAGCGAATGGCACATTGACGCTGTTGTTGCTGTCTCCGAAATGACCCCCAACCTCGGACCCACCACCTTCTCCTCCACCTGCACCACCACCACCACCTCCTCCTCCGTCTCCTTGGATCGCCCGAAAGAAATCCGGCGTAGAAAGCACCTGTTTTACAGCCAAACCCGAAACTAGCGACAAGTTTTTCCAATAGGCTTTCGCTACAAAAATGCCTCATAAAAAACACGCGCAGCATTAAAGAGATGAAGATTGGGGAAGAAAAGAGCCAAAGAGACAATTTTCTAAAAATGCATTCAATGTAGAATCTCGACGAGGAAAAATTTGAATGCACAGCAATTAAGTGTGGAATTTATCTGGGGCCCCGTTTGGGCCGTTTGCGGTGTCAACACCGTCATCCGATCACCTGCTGCGTCTGCTTTGGGTATCCATTTAATGGCCAGCCAGTTGGTGGCCAGATTGCCAGCTAGCCTGGCCCAGATCGTCGATGGTCTAGTCCTGGTTTCGCTTTCATCGCAGCTGTGCCGACTCCCAAAAAATAAAAAAACGTCTATGAAAAAAGCAGCATCCACGAACTGGTTATTATCACTTTTCCTTTTTCCCCTGAGATTTTCCAACGGGTTGGAAAGTTCTCGGACATCCAGTAGCTGATACGTCATATGTGTCTCTGGCAATTTATACAATTTATGGAAATTTCCATTTGACGGACGGGCAAAGTCAACCGTCAAGAATATAAAACTGAGCGCAAGGCAGAAGAAGATCGTAATGATGATCACAGCGGAGATTGAAGGCCCGGGGAATACCCTTGAAAAAGCGGTTCTAAGAAGTCCAACCCAAATGTTGATTGCTGAAATTGCTGTATCTAAATCTAGAAAACAATTAAATTCAACCCAATTCCTTTCTGTTAAACTGATCATTCTATGATTTTATTTTGGACTTCCTACTTCCACTTTCAAAGAGTCTGACTATTTTTCTTTCGTGTTTAATTAAACAATTAAATACTTAGGCATTCTAATGAAGCAGACATCCTAAGCCCCTTCATGGCCAATTGAATTTGCCTAAATCTAATATATCTCAATAAAACTACCCAGTTTTCATTTCAATTATCGTTGGATTTTCTTCTGCAACCATTATCCTAAGGTCAGACATATTATTTTTCTTTGGGTTAATCCCTTAACCTACTTTCGCGAGCCCAGAACATCACTCCCTCGGGAGATTTTCCCGTGTTGACGATCGATATAATCATGCCCTACCTCTACCTCTCTACAAGGACGGACTGAAAGATATTGTATCTGCGATATTGTAACTGTGACTGCCAGGCACGAGACATCATAAGGTACACAAAGCAAAAAGAGTGACATTGATGCGTCGCGACATTTAAATGTGCAGCCAAGTCTACCTGACCAGAAACCAATGGAAACACAAGCAAACTCACAGATAGGCAAACTAACAATCTGACGGACAAAGCGGACAGCTAGACGAAGTCTTGCGCTTGATTGAATGTCTGCGACAAGCTGCAAAATTCTTCACTCGCTCGCTAAACAGATATGGGCAAAAGATGCATTGTCAGCCGAGGATGAGGAAGTGGCTCAGCTAAACGTGGATATCATTTACAGACTTTGAGATACTTTGCTCGAGATACTTCGCTTGAGATACTCTTAGCGAGCTACCTGCGCGCTGCCTTTTGCGCATGCGTGCAATAGTCACACCAATCCATAACAATAACAGACTTGTTACGCTTTGTTCTTTGACGGTCGGGAGATAGAGCCACGGCCTGTATGTGTATATACAGATATATCTTGTATCTGACAAATACCGCTGCTACCTGGCGCAAATGTGCGAATTTTGCAGCGCTCTCTTTTCGCTTTTGAGTGATTTCGCTGCCTCGGCGGAGTGACTTTGTTGCTGTTCTCTGTGTATCTGCAAGATACCAAGCGGCAAAACCCAAAAAAAAACCAACAACCAAAACGAACAAAAACAAATAACTGACAAAAAAAGCAGCTCCGTGGGTTTCCACTGTGTTTGCTGGGCGAGCCGGCGGCAGTTGCCGAGCGTGTTTGCTGCCGTCTAGCCGTGCCGCATTTAGCGGAACTCTCGAGAGTTGTATCTTTGTATCTGCGATCTGTCGGATGGATATCTCATTTCACAGCGACTGTATTTTGTTTCGCTGTTCTGATATTTCTGCTGTAACGTCGCGTGTTTATTTCCGTGTAACTAAATTAGTTTAGAAACCGCTTAAGTGGGGAGTTTGGCCAGCAAATATAATAAAGTAATCCAACCGCCTCCGCAGATTCATAACGCGCACCACGCGTTCCGCCAGTCGCCAGAGTTCCGCCGGACACTCCCCGCCTCCGCCGCTGCATCGCAGTGACGACTCCTCCAGCAGTTCACCCTCACCCAGCCGCAGACGGAATAAGCCAGGTGGTGCTCCTGCCGCCACCGATCCACCATCCTCGTCGGCGAACGGGAATAGCTCCGCCTATGAGACGGCAGCCACCACTGTGATGACCCAAGACCAGCAGCGACATCCTCCAGTTGAAGTTCCTACGGCTCTAACCGTCGAGCCAACCCAACCAGAAGACATCGTCCCGGGCGCCTGCCCCACTGCATCTGCCCACTCAGGTGAGTCCTTCAGTCCCAAATCTCTATCTGTGTTTCGTTGTTGCTTGCGTGACGTCTCTGTGTTGCCTGTTTGTGTTTCGAGTTACAGTTTGTCCATGAGCGTTGTGAATGTCCCTACTGATCCTGCTTACTGCTCCTTTGCTTTCCAAACTGCAGTTTCCCATTCAAGGTCTTTAGAAAGTTCTTTATTACCTTGGGAACTCTTTGAAACTCTGCTTCCCGCTTACTTCACGCATCCTGTTTAAATTTCATTGTTAAGGAGAGCATCCCATTTATCTTTTATCCATATAAATCTCTTTTAGCGATATTAATATCAAATTACCCTTTTGTCCCACATTTATCATTCAAATTTTGTAGATCAACACCAATCAAATTGTAGTTACTGTTCCTAATTACTGTTCGGATAGGTATGGGTTAATTACATAGTTCAGTAGGCCATAAAATTAGCCACGCATTGGCTCTATGTAATGATATTTAAGCCTTTCATCAGTCTTAGCCATCCATTTTCCTGGGCTGATTCATTAGTAATTGGATGAAATTATAAAACCTTATATTAATGCTTACCTTAGGCGATCTCTTAACACTGAACCCTCAGTCAGAACTATCTCTTATGTCGAAATCTATACAAATTATGTCTTGTGCTCTGCTGGCTGTTTCCTTGATCGTTTTCTGATCTCACACTTTAATCTACCTTCGCTTACCCCACTTTGCGAACATTACAAATTCATTAATTCTTTGGGGAAACTTTCCCAACCAAAGTTCGGTAATTAGCCCGCCCCATGCCGATTCAGCCCTGAACCGTGGGCCTGTCAACGTTTTTTGCAAATTAGCCGAGAAATAAAGCCAAACTCCATCATCGGAAGAGGCGAGTCGCCGCGTTTCTTCGTCTGTTTCTTTTGCTTAAAACACTTAAAAGCAATTTAAACTAAATTAGATTTTTGTCGGCTTGCCAATCAAGCGAAAACGTTTTCTAGACAAATGTTAATTTGGCTCATGAGACCTTCGGTCAAAACATTTAAATCAAATTGCAATTGAGCAACTCGATTCAAGTCGATTAAATTCCAAAATGTTTTGACTGTCGAGGTTTCTCGGATGTCAGAAAAGTCTAACAGGCCGAATTATATAAGATAATTTGCGCAATTTTTATTCGCATTATGACTACAGTGTTTCCCAAGAAATGTTTTTGCAAACTCCTCCTCGCCGTATAAATGAATAAAATTGTTTGTCATTTGATAAAATCGATGACCAGACTTCATGCAACTTAGGCAAATGAAAGACGCCATAAAATTGCTAATAGACCCCAACCAAAACGCAACCAGGCCGCTCTTTGACGAAAGCTGTGCCCAATTTTCATTTTATTTATCAATGAATGGATCGGTTCGGATCGGATCGGCTCGAATCGAAACCGGGTTTATTATCAATGGCTGGCCAAGGGTTTCATAAATTTTTGACAGTCGTCTCTATATCTCTGGCATAACGGATTTCGGGCTCTTGAGAAAGTCCGCCCGAAGATCGTTGTCGTAGATCTGCATATCACACGGTTATGGGAAGTTTCCGTTTAATAGGAAAGATTTAGTAAGCATTTGCGGCCACACAGAACGCGCAGCTGCCAAAAAAACAATAAACAACTATGATGGCGATGATGGTGATGATGACGATGATGGCGATGTTCGATCAGCCGTATCGATTTCGTTTCAATTGTTTTCGGCCTTTGTTTTGCCACTGCGCATATTGATTTCAATATTTACCAATTTGGCAAGTTTTGATTCACTTTACTGGAATTAATTTGATTTTTGCGAGCTGTCTAGAGGGCCAACGATCGCCCGCAAAGTTTAGAGCGTTCACTGATCTTTGCCAGGCAGCAGAAGGCAATGAACGGGCGGAACCCGGAGATGCTGGCAGATGATTTGCCGAAAAATGTTTTTTGCCCATTTCTTTTGGCCCGTCTTCTGGGTGGATTATGAAATATTTTGGGTTTTACATAAGCCACCACTTTGTTGGGGGCAAAACATCAAAGTTGAAATGGATTACAGTGCTGCAAGCTGTTTTGTGTGCAGAGAATCTATTAGGAAATCACAGAAGGTCTTAAAGTGGATGCCCAAACTTGAGATAATACTTTTTTATGATATTTTCGATTTGAAGCCATTACACAAAGTTCCCACACTCAGCTCTTCAGCGAGTCATAAATTCTGGTTTATTAGTGAACGAAATCTAATCGCTGAGCGATAATCTAATCGCTGGCTCTGCCAGTTTAATGTCCAATAAAGTCCACAAAGTTAATACATCATCGTTAAATAGAGACCTAATGACCCCAGATCGACTCGAAAACTTTCGTTTTGTGCCTAATGCATTTCTTTTGTGCCAGAGACTTTCGCAACTACTTCGTGTTTGTCACCACGCCACACCACACCAATCAATCTTTGCCAGCTAGCCATTAGATTGGAGCTGAGTTTTTCCCCCAGACACCCATATTTGCATTATGCAATCCAAAACCAAAACCAAAACAACAGCAACAACAGCAACAGCAGCAACCACAACAAGCAGCAATCATAAGCTTTAATGTCTCACTAAAACAACAAACTCCACGCATTTTACCCTCCTAAAAAAATACAAAAATACATCAAAATGCTCAGCAGCCAGCCAAAGTCGAGGAAAAGCTGGCAAATGCAGTATTAATTGCACCTACAGTCACAGCCACAGCCACAGCACCAACAACAACTGCAACGCGCGGCAACGCAACAGCAACAACAGCAACAACACCAGCAGCATCAGCAGCAAAAGCACCTGCAACAACAATAGCAAACAGCAACACGCCACGCCCATGCCGCCCCTAGCCAATGCCAACAAAGCCCCGTTAATTGTGCTTAAGACAGCCGCATCTGCAGCAGCAACATCCATTGCCGCAGCAGCAACAGCAGCCACATCCACCGGCACGGCAGCAACATCTGCTGCAGGTTCGCCCACCAAGCGTCGCAAGAATCCGCTGTCGCCGCTGCTCCTTGGCAGCCAGTGCCAGTCCACCATTGCGCCTCCGCAGGCCATTGCCAGTCCGCTCCTGAGCGGCGGCAGCTGCTCCTCCTCGACCACCTCGCCCCAATCCTCGCCAGCGGTTCGCACCACCAAGGCGAGTCGTCTGCGCGCCGCCGCGCTTGGTGAGTCTCCTCCTCCTCCTCCGCCCAGTCCATCTTCATACCCGAATTGGTGGAGGTCATCGGGTTTCCCATCTGTCCCAATCCATTACCACCGTATCCTAACCACTGTAGTTTGTTTGGTGTGCATTTTTGTTTTCTAGTAACACACAAACTTTCTCATGCAACCAGACTTAAATAGTCAAAGGACTTCCAGATTTCACTTTATTTATAACAGTATCAGATTTCAATACTTCTTATAACAACTGTGGAGTGAAGACAATCACTCAAAAGTTTCTTAAAATTCCTAATCGTAATTGTAGAGAATGGTTGTACGTTTTTCTCTGTGTTGCCACGCCTGCATTTCATCATCCTCAATATCGTGTGCGTTTCCCTTTTCTCTAACCCAACCCACAGATAAAAAGAAGGAAGAGGAGCAGCGCCAGCGCTACAGCTCACCGGCATCCCCAAGAGCCTCCAGCAACGGAGGACCTCAAGCACATCCACATCGTCGTCTAAGCAGCTCGGAGCTGTCGCCCAAGTCGCCAGGTGCCAGTGGATTCACCTCGGAGCCAGTCGCTTCAGCCACCGCCAACAAAGTCCCGGCGAGATCTGCCTCCCATCCTGTGGACACACCGCCCACTCAAAGGCGACAGCCTTTGGTGGCCGTGAGTTCGGACGTCTCCATGAAGCAGAGTCTCAGTGAACTGCACTTTACGGGCGGAGCAATCAGTCCGCCCAAGGCTACGGCGGAATGCACTCTTAGGATGCGACCACGTAGCTCCACGTTGAGCACCGAGAACACGGAGAATGGCCGACGTGACCACTTGGCTAATCTGCAACTAAGTCCAGTGCAAAAGCAAAAGCGAACGGTGAGCGAAAATTCTACTTTTAGTAAGGTAAACCACATTGGGTTACAAATCGAACCTTCTACAGTGGTTTATCTGCTTAATTTTAATTCTCGTCAACTGCTCATTAATCAATCTATTTTTTGCAGCCCGAAGTATCGCCACGTCGTTTGGGAGATCGCGACAAGTCGGCCAAACGGAAATCGAATTTGAATCGTTCGTTGACCGAGGAAGCCACCAAGGATGGCGGTAAGTTGGCAACAGCAACGGATGCAGTGCAGCAAACAGCAAACGAATGGGATGTGATCAGCAGGGCACCAAATGTGGAACGCCTTCAAGCTTGAATAGGCATTCCAATGAGGCCGCAGCAAAGAGGAAAGATCTCACTATGATTCATTCCATCTCCGGGCGTCATGTGGCTACCAACGTCGCAGAAAAACACATATTTTAAATACCATTTTCAACATTTTCATTTAAACCATTTTGTGCTGCGTCAAGAAAGCTTCTTCACTGAAAGCACTTGTGTAAAATATGTTAAAGTCCAAGCTGTGCCGAGTCCCTATTTATTGTTATGCACGTGTTATGTCCAGAATATGCTTCCTTTGCTAATAAGTTGCAATGAGTGGTCACTAATTTCTGATCTTCTCTTGCAGATGAGGTTGCCTCCTCGACCCGTCGACGCCGACGTCGCGAACTGGGAATGGCGCGTCCACTGGTGCCAGGCGATGATGAAGCCCTGAGAGATTTGCTAACGCCGCAGAAGAGTTCCTGCAGCGAGTCAACCCACTCCATATCCGAACCCTTACTGAAGTTTCTACCAGCCGTTCGTCATCCGGAGGTCCCAGTACGCACCATGACTGCTGTGCTGCCTGCACCACGACCTTTGCATGCCCCTGTGGCACGCAACGTCTCCCAGAAGTTCAATGAAAGGACCAAAACCGATCTGGCAGAGATCAAGAAGATTGCCGAGCAATCGGATGCGTTGCAGCAACAGCCTTCGGTGGATGATAACCAGAAAATGTCAGCCATAATGCGCAGGAAGAGCACGGATGAGGGTGGAGCCGCTTTGGGGGCAACGAACCAGAATTCACCACCTGCCCCAAACCAAATTGTATCCATTCTGAAGAAGAAGGAGCATGGACTGGGCGAGTGCAACTCCAGTGCTTCGAGCAATCCCTCGCCGGTAACCTTCTCCTCTAGCGTGGTGGATCATCCGTTGGCTGGAGCTGGTCGGTGCAAACGGCAGGGAATACTCAAAAAGAGATCGAGTCTAGATGAATCACGCTACTACTCCCGGTCCCATTCACCCGACGAACGAAGTATTTTAATTAAATCGGCCAGGAGGAATTCTCTGGAGGAAGCGGGCACTGGATTGAGTCCGGCCCAGGCCCATGGAATTCTGAAGCAGAGCAGCTACGACAGCAGCAAGAGCGATGGTTGCCCCTCGGCCACGGAGAGCCAGCCACACAGCATCCTAAAGAAGAAGGACTCGCTATCCACACCCTCGGATGGCGGATGTCACAAGCATGTTTCTATTTCGCAAGCTGTCACCTTGGCTGCAGCTGAACTGGCCGCCCATGATGGAATCCCCTTCGATGATGGCGAGGAGCATGAGATACGACCCATCCTAAAGCAGGAGAGCACCTCCAGCGAGGAGGCTGTGCGTCCGCCAAAGCCCATACTCAAAAAGAAGTCATTCGGCGAGGCGGACGAACATGAAATACGTCCCATACTGAAGAGCTCTCGTAAAAGCAGTCGAGAGGAGTTCGATTTGAGTGGCTTTGAAAACGAGGCCAATGATTCCCTATCGTCAATCCTAAAGACAGACTCGCCGTCCAAGCGTCGGTCGCTCGGTTCCGCATTGCATGATTTGGATGAGTCCAACACGTCTCCGAGCCTGCTAAAGAGGCGTACCCGTTCGCTGGAACGCCAAGATGTCCAGCCTGGTATGAATTTGGCAGCTGCCCTGGACGCCATCGCCACCTCGCAGGCTGCTCCCAGCACACCAGTGGACTTCGTGACCACGCCATCAAGCATATCGGTGGCGGAGCGGATTAAGCGCATGGAGCTGCTGTCAACGCCCACTTCCCGTGCGGCGGGTGGGGCCAACAGCAGCTGGGAATCGCCACTGCAGGCCTCGTCATCGGACCATGGAGGACCCACCACCCCTAGGGTGCTCAAGCCAAGTGTGCTGCGCAGGGATTTGCAGAGGGAGCGGTACAAAACGCAGCCTGTGACCAACGAGGAGATGAGCTTGTAAGTCAAAAATAATTGCTACTTCTCCGTTTTAGTACTACAGTTTATGCAACCCTTAGAAATGTGGAAAATGATAGGAAAACTTCATGAATATCCTTGTCGGAGCAGTATTTTTCAGAGTTTCCATTCCAATTGCCACATTCGCGTTCACAAATTGCGCATACGTCGTGTGGCCCGTCAAGCTGTCAACTAATTCTGCAGCGAACGCCAGTTCACGCTTCGATGGTCCCAAGAATTCCAGCCCCCGAATCCGAACCCGAATCCGAATCCGACTCTGTATCCGTATCTGTGTTTGCATGGAGCAATATTTGTCTATATACTCGCATTCATTGCTATTTTTGGTCCGCCGAGCACATTTCTGGCTGGCACTTGGCCGAGCCTATAAATATTTATACCATCATGGTGCCCACAACCCCTCACTGCCTCACTGTCAACTGGAAAATGTACCAGTTGTTTGGCCATTCATACGTCATAGCCGACATAATCCAGTCATGATCGGCTTAATTAACTTTACTGTGGACATACTCCGCTAACCACGTAAGCATCGTAAAACCAGCCGATTCTGATGAAAACTTCATCACATTTCGCCAGCAGATATTTGGGCAATAGTTGAATTGCTTTCCCATTGCTCCGCATCCAAATGTCAAGCCAATGAAATCCTCCATGGCTGCTGACCTGACCTCAATTCGATTCGCTGTCATATCATTCACCTTTCTTTGCCGCCTCTTATTTTTATTGGCCCGACTGGCTGTTGTTGGTGTCACTTAAGCAGCTTATTGCTTGCCTAATTACCTGCGCCACTATTGAGGCCAACAAGAACTCGGGAGTGCGCGAAATACAAATAAAGGTTAGTAATGGCCAGCGATTATAGAAGGTCGATTGGATTCGCGAGCTTTGAAGAGGGCATCCACAGAAATATATAAATATGTTCATATGTGCGGTTTGCAAAGAACTAGAAAATATGGCGATGATTTATGTGCTTGTTTCCTAGTCTTTGATTAGTTTTCGGTGTATTTCTTTGGTGAAACCAAAATGAGATAGCAGTAGGAACAACCAGCAAGTACTATCACACCATCATTCCCAAACAATTAGCTCATTCCAACTTGTTGGCCACGATTCCCACCTGAAGTGGGTAATTTCTGCGAATTGCGGATTGGCCAATGTCGCGCTCGTAAACCCAGTTTCTTTGCTAAAAGCATTTTAGAATTTTGACTAGAAGATAGAGTGGCACCTCTTCCACTTCCATCTGCATCGCCTCAAAGTTGCCAGTTCTTGTTTAACTGTGTTTTTATGTCAGCATTTTATGGGTTTGTTGGCGAGTGAGTGTTTTGCTGTTATTATTATATTGTTGGTTTTGTTGGTTTTGTTTTTCGGGGGGCTTTTGTTCAACTCTGGCACTCCCTTCCCTCAAACAAGCAACAATACTGAAAAATCAACCAACAATAACAGTATAAGCCAGGTTGTTCTGGAAGGCTTTTGTTTTTTTCACACTCTCGCTGGCTGTCACATTTGCATTCAGCGAACGGTATTGTCAATATCTTTTGCACTTTTGCCGACGCTTCGTGCCGTGAAATTTATGCTGCCCATATTCGCCAGTTGCATTCAGTAGCTTGCAGCGGGCGAACGCGTTCAGATACAGATACTTTCGTATCTTCTATCTGGAATTTCCGTGACTGAACCTTTGGACGAGGAGGATTTCCCGGAAGGGCGACTGTCGTTCCATGTTATTGCTGCAGCGACGTCAGAGCGAAAAAATGTTCGAGGCGTATATCAGAAAACGGTAACAAGGAAACCGAAAATCAATCTCAAAAAAATGTCAACGCAAAAGCGAAAAAAAATCGAACCATAATATCGAGAGAGATTGAGATAGTAAAAAAGCGCACGCTGACATGTGTTGGCCGATTAAATCGATACAGCTCATATATGTCCAATTCGAAGTTATGCTGTATCTTTTTCTAATCTCCCGATAAGATAGCCAACAAAAAATGAACAGTTAGTCAGCCAAAACGAGACTTTGCCTTTCGGTTTTATGGGCAAAAAGAATCACTTTAATAGCCCAATCGTAAATATGTCACAATACCAACTTTGCGGAGAGATCTATGCCGGTTTCGTATGGGGAAATAATTATTTTATGTGCCCATTGAGAAATAGTCTGCATGTCTGCATTTTCTATAAATAAATCATGTATGTCACACCTCAGTCGGTCCATTCACAAATTGTAAATAGGCATACAGAATGTGACAGGGTCAAAAATAATGCACTTTTAAGTTGCATTAGGTTTTTATGCTTTGGCATTTTTAAACACGGGTATTAATCATATTTGAATGATTCCCGAGCTTTGATTTTTTATGGAAGCTGTATTATTTTTGAAAATGCCATTTTGTTTGCTCTTTGGCGTTCGGAAAATTTCTCTTTCCCCAAATGAAAGAGGCAAGGAAAATGCACCGCAAAAGAAAAGCCAACGAAGACATTTCCCAGACAAACGGCGGAAAAGAAGGAAAATACCATACCAAAATAAATATAAAGCACGGGCAATAAAAAAAGGCAAGAAAATAAAGCTGAAAATAATTTAAATTTGCCGACAGCGACGTCGACTGCGGCAGAGCACCACCGCACCGCCGAACCACTCAGCTCGCCCCACCGCACCACCCACTTTCCTCTGCCGACGTTCTCTGCTCTTCTGCTCGGCGTTTTGTTTGTACAATTTTTGCGCTCAGTTGCTCGCGATCGCTTTTTCAATTTTCACGTATCCGAGGCAGCGCTGAAAAATAAACTATATTTTACGCAAAGAACTCGAATCCGAGTATCGAAAAAATACAGATTCTTCACCTCATAGATAGGAAAATAAACAGTGAATAGTGTGCAGAGGAAATCGAAACTAACTGATAAATTTATCATCTAAATCGCTGCGCGTTTCTCGGTCGTTCGGTCTTCGCGTTATCAGGTGCAGAACCAGATAGTATATTCCCTATATGTGTGCTTAGTGGAAGGAAAACCACGTTCCCTTCGAAAATTCTTGGCCAGTTGCCGGTAGACGGGCTCGCATACCGCGTGTGAATTGGAAAAGGTAGTAAATAAACTGGGGTTTCTTTCTTTTTTGGGAAAATCCATGGAAAATCAGTGAAATGTGGCACGAATCGCCAGTTTTCTCGCCCAGCTCTCGAAATGTATATATTTCGTAATGCGCTAAAAATAAGTTCCATGAAAGTGTGCAGTTGTGCAGCCAAATGAAAATTCCAACATTCGAGTGCTACAAATTGCCAAATTGGCGAAATATATATTTAAATTGTATATTGTTAAGCAGCAATGCCAGTGTCTGCATAAATTTGCGTGTTAAATGTGTGTTTTTTGCCCGTGAAATAATCCGCCAAATGGCTTTGGGGTTTGTGTATCCGCTAAGTTGGCCAAATCGAGAGCTGTTTTTTTTATATATTTTTTACCAAATAGCACCCCCTTTCTCTTCGATTAGATCACTCGAAACCTACAACTGTATATTTCCGATAATTCTCGCAACTGTTGCCGCAAATCATTATTTTTGTGGCTCGAAATGTTTGAAATTTAAACGAGGGAATTCTCACGGACTCTTTTCCTCTACCGCCCTCACCCGAAATCCAATTAGCTAGTTGTTGCATTAAAATGTTGTATATTTTTAGTCTTTTTGTTATTTCCCGCTTCCTCTTTTTAACATTCGATGTGCGCCAGGCGTGGAAAATAGGCCCGATAAACAAAACAAATATTGGAAAAACTTGAGAGTCGAACAAGTTGTAGGTGAGGTACTAAATATAGAAGGAAAATGTTCAAGAGGCCTTTGGGTGGTGATAAACTTACAAGTTTATGTGGAGAGCCTGTGTGGAAAAAAACACACAAGCGGCAGTACATATTTACCTTTTATTTCTCTTATCATCAATTCAATTACCTTTCACTGCCCGCTTTTTTTATTGCCGAAACAGTTTGGCTAATTCTGCTGGCCATCGTCGAGCTTGTAAACTTTTACCTTCACTCCCCCGGAGGCTTACAGTGAATCCACAAAAGCAGCAGCCGCCAGCGCCAAAGTTTCACCACCAAAACATAATTAAGTTGGCCAAAATTGCCTATAATTATGTCCGAGGGAGAATGATAGAGATGAATGTTCACAAAGAGATTCACAGTGTATTAAGCGCGTTGTTATGTAAATTTCTGCGCCGGGGGAAAACACGAGTTGTTAGTCAAAAACCAAACAATGCATATGATATACAAATATTTCTCCATATTTTATAGGCAGTAAATTACAATATTGAAGTATTGAACTATTTATTTGTATGACTAAGATATGAGGATACTAAAACATCGATCATGCTTATTGATTTGTATATTGTTCTATTGCAGCTTCAAAGCCAACTCCGCGCCCTTCGACATCTCGGCCACATCGGCCTTCAAGCCCACCAAGCCGCTGGACATCCGCTTGACCCACGCACCGCACCCACCGCTGATCTCCCCGATAACCGGACAGCCACTGAGCCACGTGCCCGCCCCACTGCTGCTGTCCTCGTCGACGAACTCAGGAGCGGGATCCTCGTTCCGCCTGGCACGCAGCTCCACCCAGCCGCTGCAGTCGCCGCGAGTTGTCCACCTGGCCGGTCAGGCTACTGGTGGCCCCGCCTTGGCGCAATCCTCGCTGCTGGCACGCCAGAACTCGGTCAACGACAGCATCAATCTCAGCGAGCAGCTAACCCTCTCCATCGGCACAGACAGCGAGCACATCTTTGAGATGTCCGCTTTGGAGGAGGACTCGGCCATCCAGTCGCTGAGCGACGAGACAGCCGCTTCCGCTTCCGCATCTGCATCTGCAAACTCCACCTCCACGACCACCGCAACCACCATGACACCGCCCAGTGGCCTAACGCGCAGCAACAGCGTTCGGGCCAGGGCCAATATGTTCCAGCAACTGCAGGAGCAGTCGCGCAACCAACGGGCAACGGGTTAGTAAAACCAAATAGCCAAACAGCAAAGGTCTGCCGATGGGTAGTTTGGGGTCGGTATGCCATTCACCCACCAATCAGCACCGCCATTATCGTCGTCATGCGCTGAGTTCGCAGAAATTAGCATGAGGCAATAAAGCAGACGAGCAGCGACCGCTAAGTGAACCGGTGGCACCGCGAACTTGGTTGCCCCATGTCGCAAACCGACCGGAACAAGAAGGCCAAGACCGCAGTGGCCAGAATGGAAGTAGATTAGAGCTAGAGTTGGGCTAGGGCCACAATACTGTTCTGTGGAGTTGGCAGTATTGTGAGGAACTTAGTTGAAAGGAAATAGGAAATCCCTGTTGCATAGTTACCAATTGATTTATAACAATTCCATTTTATGGGCTGTTATAGCTGACACTGAGCAAACAGCTAGACATTCGTTTTGTAGTTTTGAAGAACCCCAGCAAAACCCATACTTCTGCGAATATTAATTAGCCAAGCCCCTAAGCTGGTCAATGTGTATAGCCTCAGCCCAGAGTACTTGCCAGATTTTGCCATTAGCTTTGGTGTTGTTGCGGCAAGCCGCCTCTCATGGTTGTTGGCCAAGTTAATAAGCTGTAAAATGTGTGTCACTTGCCTCACACTCACCCGCACTTCGGAAAGTCGCCGTCTCCGGCAATCAGCAACTAATTGAGGCTTGCGTGTTGGGTAACATTTGTGATCAGGTGGTTGGCACACGGGAAGGGTATAAGAAGGGCTATATACTGACCTGCACTTCAGATTAGACTTTCGTTATCGAAACCGTAAGTAGTCATGTAAAAGTAACTAGGCCCTCTGGGAGAACTATGCCAAAATTTGATCTCTATTAGTAGCACACTTGAACACAAGACACAGAACAATTTTTTTACTCTTTTTGAGCAATAGTTTTGGGATGATATATCATTTGGTTTATTAACTTCGATATGGCTACAAAACGCAAGCTTTTGAAGCCCACTGTCAAGAGGCACAGTACAACTATTATAATCAAATCGTCCATTTCAGGAGCCTCCCGTCAATCTCCACCAGCGCCAGCGGAGGTGTCTTCAAGTGCTGCCGACAATTCCTTACAGAGTGACGAGCGGTCCACGCCAAACGCCACGATGGATGCGGAATTCGGTGAGTGAAGCTATATCAAAGGGTTCTTAGGGGAGGAGAGTGATGCCTAGATGAGCTGCTCCAGCTTTTCCGGCTTGCTACTCCTCCCTCAACTTGCCATTTGCCATTTTACGTTTTCGTTTGATTTGCACGATGCTCATTTGGAATGATAAACATATGTATATGATTATAATTCATACAAAATACTTATTGTTGTTGCTTACTGTGTCTGTGTTCTCTATAATTTCATATATTTTTATTGACTCGCCTGAGACTAATTCACAATTAACTCGAACAAACTCGCATTGGCCGATAGAAATCAGTGTCAAATTCGGGATGCAACAAAACAGTAGCCACGCCAAATTGCGCAACGAAAGAAATGGAAAAACTGCAAAACAAATTCGTACACAGCTCGTAATTCGGTTTTCCATGCATGTGCGTACGTTGGGTTTTCATTTGCGAGTTTTCCATTATTTGCGCCAGTTTCAGTTCTCTAACAAATGAATTAACTCCTCGTTGTTGTTGTTGCCGTTGCTGTTTTGACTTGTTTTATTGATGTTGTTGTTGCCGCATGAGAAAACTACTAATAATTTATTCCCCACAACTGTATTTTTATGTAATTTAAGACGCGCGTGATTTACTTATCCATTTATTTATTTGCCACATTCCCATCGAGGTCTTTAGCGCAGTTAATTAGGCGTTCATAATTTTACGGCCTTAATGTACAACATTTTTTACGCCTACCCGAATGGCGTTTTCTTCCTTGAAAGTGATCCACCATAACTCCTGACCCACTTGAAAATGGGTTGGGCTAATGGTAACCTCCTTCGTATCTGTTATCGGCATGCTTTATGGCCAAAATATGGGTCGTACGTTATTGAGCAAGTTCTTTGTGGTTTGGCATAAAAAACAGGCTGTAAAATTTATTGCCAAAAAGGTGGGAGAACGTTGACCTTGATAGACGCCAGATAAATATATAATTACCATGCACAAATGTTTAGGGCTTTGAACAAACAAATATCAGTAATTTGTGTGATAAGTACATTTTAAATTAGCCACATGCTACATTACCACGAATTGTGGTTCAAACTTTACTTGATTATATTAGATTTATATGGTCTCATGATGCATACTTTTGCTTTCCATTGACTCGAAAGATGTGCTCTTCAATAAATGATTTAAGCCATTTGGTCAGTTCAGTCCAGTTCAGTCATAATTTCAACTATTTCAATGTTCAGAATTCTCCAGCTTGTTCCAACCAGCTTAAATCGTGCCCACAAAGTTTTCCATCATTTCTTGGCGTCTTGTTTATCAGTTAAACAACCCACACAAATATCGCACAGACGCTTACAAAGAAAGTTCATATCAATTGAAAGCGCTGTGGAAGAACCAATATCGAAAGTTACAAATGAAAATGAAAATCGAGAAGATGGCAGTTGTGTGTGTGGTGGACAAAGCAAAAAGCATCAAAAGCGTAAAAGCGCAAAAAGTGGCGAATTATAGAAATTGCTGCATAAACGCCAGACCAACTTTCTATGATTCAGTTATGCGGGCGTACAAATCATCTTTTGTGATGGTCGCTCACTGAGTTTAGTGCCTGATAAAGGCAGCTGCAAATGATAGCGTAGTGCGGGAAATGTATAGCATTATCGCAGCAGCGGCAGCATTTGAGTGTGGGCAGCGGATATAACCGAATGCGCAGCTCGTCTTTGACTCTTGTAAGTCGCGGCAACTCAAAGAAACCACAGGCAGCCAGAGCAGCAGCAATGAATATTTAGATTTGAATAAGATTCCAACTAGTGACACTTCGAGCAGACTGAGCAAATGCAATGCGTAAGTGGTGCAAAGGCCCCAGGATGAACTCTAGCAAAAACTAATCTCTAACACCAAACCCCCTATAGAACCCTCATCCCTGTCGCTGGCTGAGCGGCTGGCCTTCTTCAGCAATCTTTGCGAGAGCGGCGGAGGAGGTGGGAGTGCCAGCGCCAGCGGAAGATACCGCAGTCGCACCAGCAGCTACTCGAGGAGTCCGCCCGTCGATCGCACCACTCCCAGGAGCAGCACCACCGCCAGCAGTACAAGTGTGACGCCCACGCCCATGGACTACTCCCCGATTCCACACGACAAGGAGCCCTCCAGTCTCACGCTAGAGAGCATCATCGAGCCCGAGCAGGAGGAGGTCAGGGAGCAGGTCGGCCAGGAGGAGGTCAAGTTGAGGAAGAAGCAGCCACTCCTGAGGGAATCTTCCCAGCACAATGGCTTCCACGTGCTAACCAGGTCCGCCACCGAGCCGCCATCGTCCACGTTGCCCCTGCCCATAAGCTGTAGGACTGTAGGAAAGCTAGTCCTGCCAGATACCTTCCGCGGCGATCGCAACAATAACAGCAGCACTAAAAGTGGCAGCACCAGCTGGAGCAGCTCTTGCATGGTCAAGCTGCAGAACTTGGAGCCCGTAAGCCTGTCCGTTCACTCCCGCACCATTGGCAAGGTGAAGTCTCCGTTTATAGAAAAGCAGCAGGAGAAGCCGCATGCCGAGAAGCTGACGAACGGCATCAGCGACAGTGGCTCGGACTCGGGCAAGGAAAACTGCGCCTCCAACGAGCAGGAGCATCTGCAGCACCAGCCGAGCCAGCAGACCCAGCAGTCGCAGGATGAGGATCGAGCTCCGCCCAGGGTGTCCGAGATGCGGAGGAAAATCAGCCGACTGGTGCAACAGCAGCAGACGCAACCACAGCCCGTCAATCGGCGGCACACCACCGAGATCACCTCCGTGACCATAGGACTGCGATCCCCCAATGTGGACGATCGCTTTGCCAAGTACTTTGGTGTTAAGGAGAGCGGCAACAGCACGACCACCCTGCAGAAAACACAATCGCTGCCACCCAGCCAAGTGGAGGCCACCAATGCGCACGTGAAACTGCCGCAGATCACTACCGTGGTTTCCAAACGGCGGGAGCTGCTCAAGAGGACGCGACCCCTGTCCATGGATCACTACTCCAGCGGCTGCACCAGTCCCACAGCCATGCCAAGTCCCAAGAGAGCACATTCGCCCGTCGGCCGGCGGAAGGTCGCCATTTCCAGCATCGAGGACATTGAGGTTACCCCCGATGAGCTCCGCTCCGCTGGCAGGAACTTCAAGCTGTTGTACGGCGAGTTACTGGGCTGAAAAATTGTCTATTTTGGCCAAGCATTCAAAATTTCCCAATTTTTCAAATTTCCCAAAACCCCTGCTTTCACTTACGAACACAAAAATATCGCTCTCTTCGTGTGGGTCCGCGCTCAGTGTGATAGATGCGTCCGATCCCAATTGCAAGCTATTAACTATCTATTAGTCTCATAGTAATCCCAAAAAAGAAAACAAAAAGAACGAATCGAAAATTCCACAGATATGTCAAGCGAAAACGAAACTAATAAATGAAAAAACGATGTATGTTAGGAATGTATTTAAACCAAGAGACAGTTTTATTCCCAACGGCTCGTATATTATGTCTGGCCAGCAAAGCCTTCCAGTTTACATTTATCCTATATTATTATGCCGAACTGCTTTTGTGCTTATTTATACATAATACACTACTTTTTATTTACATTTAAAAACGAATTGTACCTTAAACGGAATTATATTATGATGAGTATGTATTACATTTATTATTATTATTGTAATATTTAATTAATGGAAGTTGTTAAACCAAGAAAATAAATCCAAGAAATGTGCTAAAGAATGAGAGCAACATACTATTAGCTAAGAATCCCAATGCTGAGTAAGTACTTTATGAGGCTCTTTATAAGTACTTAAATGTTTGAGTATGTTTATGGGCCTTTCTTAGAGCCTTTCTCCGCGCTTCTCAAGTTTGTAAGTATGCAGTGGCTGAGCATGTTTTTTTATGATTTTCGCCTGTTTCTTTATGAATTGATTTGCTGCATTTTTTTAACTTCAAAAACCTCATTATTTGGCAGCTATAACATAAATTAATTGATGAAAATTGATATATTTTGTAGGAAAACCAACCAACGAGCCACTAAAGGGCATTCTTAAGACGGGGACGCCAGTGCTTGGTATGGGACGTGGTTTAATGCCCGTGGATCTCAATGCCGAACTGAAGAATCGCCTCAAACGCTCCACCCATGCCACTGTGTCCAATCTCCGCAAATCTGCCACCACAGCAGATGCCACTAGAGCAGCTAGTGATGAGGTGGACAATCCGCAGAGGAATCTAGCCCAGATCCTGAGGAACGTGTCCAAGGAGAACTCCACGCCGAAGCACGATGATGCCGTGAGTCTGGTGCGGAATCTCTCCACCTTGGGACAACCTCGATCGCTGGCCAGAGACGATGCAGCCGGGAATTGTGCCTCGGCATCCGAAGGCGAGAGTTCGGGGGGTCGCGAGATTGAGGCCATAATCAAGAACAGTGCTGTGGCCAGACGTCGCCGGCAGCAACAGCAATCGCAGCAGCAGAATCAGCCAGATGGGTGAGTCCTGGTCCTGGTCCATGTCCTGGTCCTGCTCCTCCTCGTCCAGCATCTGCGTCCTGTGCTCCGTGTGTTAGTGCACTAACCCATAGCTATTACTAACCTGCAGTTGGTGTGCAACGTTCCACAGCATCGTGGTTTTATAATCGTATATGTAGACATAACGTTTAGACAGCAACATACATGCATCAAATGTGTGTGCTCCTCAAGACTGGTTCCCAAAAGTAAAACTAAATATTTACACTTAATGCCGAGTTGCGATGAAATTTACATTAGTTAGACGTTCATCACCTTGTATTGAACATTTGTAAATGTATCCGCACACTCCACACCCAGTGTTCGTTTGCCGCAAAGACTTTTGCTTTCGATTTAACCGACTTTCTGCACTCGAACAAAAAGATTCCTAGTCAGAGTGCAGCCCATGGCAAGAAGCTACTACTGGCCACTTGGCCAGCGGCCACAACAACATCCGCATCCGCCGCAGCAACAAGGCCAACAGCAGCAGCAGCAAGTGTTGTTCATGCAGCAGCAACCAAAACCCCTTTACAAGCTTCTTCAGCCCCGACATTTTGTAAAGAATTAGAAACTAAGTTTAAGCTTGCATTGCTTACTACCGTTTGTGCAAAAACTAATTAACTGATATATACACAACAAATAATATATTTTATCGAAAACTTGTTTTAAAGATATATTATGCCACATTATATATTTTTACGTGATGCCAAAAAGCAGATGAAAGCAAATAAAAAGAAACATTAATAAAGTTGACGGAAATCCTAATTGAGTGTAGTTTTGTTTGGCCACTAACTGTTCTTTCTTACTAACTGAATGTTTACTAACAGCATGGAACATTAAATAATCTACTGCTACCATTTTCTTGTTCAAAGTTGGAAGTATTACAAGTTTTCGTTTCGCGGCAAACTTTAAAATTGAAAATCGATGAATCCATAATCGATTGCTCCAAAGTTGATATCGATATTTTCCGTTTTCTCTTTCACCATAACAGTGTTTCGCTCTGTTAACATAAGTGTTAGGCTAAATGTTATCGTAGCAGAGTTTCATATCTTAACATTTCTGGGAATTCCGTAGTTTCAAACCATCGACCCAAGTTTCCAGCTTCTTCCCACAAACAACTTAACAGAAAGAGAGTAAGCAAGTGTACTTAAGAGAGAATTAGAGTAGCCGTATCCAAGGGTATTATCCCCTTCAGTGAAACTGGTCACACTGCGGCGTATATAACCAGGAATAAACCGGAATTCAGCGCGATTTTTAAAAAGTTTTCGCCTCGAACGGTCGTTTTAAGCGTCGCGGAGCAAGAAGAAGAATATACGCACAGCTGTTTGTGACGCGAGTTTTGTTTATGAAACATATCAACAAAAGCTATGGATATTAGTGCCGCACCAATGCTCGAATATATTCTGTAGTAAATGTGCAACGATTTTATTAGGTTCTCCGTGCAAATACGTGTTTTATTTTGTCGTTTACCTTTGGAAACGCGCGCGTTTTTGTGCCGGTTGTACAACTTATGCAAATTCAGCGCGTCCGCAGATAATTTATTGTTGCTGCGAGCAAGAAGAAGGTTTTGCTTCTAAATTAAAACAATTGCTGGCAATTGAAAGTGCAAGTGCATATTGCGGCGGAAACAGCGGCTTTTTTGCAGTCTCTTAAAGGTTTGTACCAATTATTGAGGATTCATACAAAAAGCAGAAGTTCCTTTATTTTTCGAAGGGTTGCATCTGCCTGGTTCTGTCTCCCTCTTACTCCCGTTCTCCTTGTCTTACCTGCAGCCAAACAGCCGAAAAAAACTGTAAAATGGTTGTTTTGTTTCCATTCAAACATTTTGCTGATTCACCGAAACCTCTGCAGACTTCCATGCACTGGAAAGAGTGGGGGCTTAAATGAAACGAAAAGCAACGATAAGATGTTGTTGAATTATTGAAGTCGTCAAGAGTTTGCCAATTCGTAAAACAAATTAAAAATTGTGGATTTTAAATTAATGTGTGCCTTAATCAGAAGTTTCTGAAGAAAACTAACCTCTTTATCAGTTTGGGAAGTCCCTCTATAGCTCAATAATTATATGGATTTATTTTATTGCTTCGGGAATCTCTAAAATAGTGTACATATATTATTAATTTTTTTTTTAAAGTGTATCACCCCGGTTTCAAAGATTTGTTGTTGTCCAGACATTGTTGTTGTTTTCGTGTTTGCTTGCACTTGGAATCTCCACTGTTTTTCTCTCTGTCGATCCGTACAAAAAAAATGTTTGCAGCCGACGCTTTTGTTTTGGTTTTATTTCTTAGTGCTTTCCAGTTTTTTAAGTCCGACTCGCTTGAGCAATTTTAGCAAAATTTTGTTGATTTAGTCGATTTTAATTATCAAGTGTTTGATGTCTATTGTCTCTGGGTTCAAGGTTGGAAATTCAGGCCAGCATTTACATAAATATCCGAAAGCAGGCACGCTCGAAAAATTAAATCAATGAAAATTATAGGAGTTTTACCTCCAGCAATTTATTTCAACTTTTTATATTTGTTTATTCAAACATTTCTGAATTGTATTGCATAATTCCAGTTCGGCGGAACTCCTCCACAAAACAGGTAATCCAGAAAATCGCAGCTAATGATCAAATAAAATAATCAAATGCGGAGCGAATCAAATGTTGGAGTTGTTGGAGAATGCCTTTCGTTTTCCATGAATTTGCATAATTTGTACTTTTATTCAGCTTTTTTTTTTGGTTCGCTTTGGCCCGTGGCAAATTTCTTTTGGCGGTGCCATTTGATGGGCGAGAAATGAAAACGAAATTAGTTTGCAATTTGTTTTATTTCGATTTGTGTTTTAATGGCCAGCGTGTCTGCCCAAAACCAATTAAATAATAGTAAATCGCCATGGAAAAGAGTGCAGTCACTGCTTTCAGAAAAAACCCATTGGTCTCACTTTTCAGCAGTTGTGATTATTCAACTGATCAGTACTGTTGATTTGATAAAATTGTACTTATTGGATATCAAACATGTTCGAGGAATATAGACATTTGTTTAGTAGCAACAATGTTAGCTCTGTTTGATATTTCAATAGGGGGAATATGCAACACAAATACTCGGAAAAGTTATTAAGGAAGGTGGCTTCCCTACTTGGAAAATATGCCTGTACTCGTATACTCGTAGCTTACCTAGATAAGAAGTCGCGTCTTCGGTTTCCCTTTTTTATGGCAAAGTGCTCATTTGTAAACAAACAATAGATTGGCCATAAATAGACAGTCGAGTGCTGCTTATCGCCTCGGTATCGCTTTTTATGATAGTCAGGGGCACTTGGGGTTAATTTCACTGCATAATACACATGGGAAAGTGCTGGAAGTGGATGTGCATCACCATTACCCCAAATACACATGCACAACACCCACAACGAAGAAAGAGAGGGCAACATCCAAGGGATAGAGATAGAGATAGCAATGCCCGATCACGTCGGTATAGGAAAAACGTGAGTCCAAACGCTAATGAGCCAAAGCAAATAAACGAGGCGGATTGAAACAAAAGTTCTGCGGGAGAAGCTGAAAAACTCAGGGGCCTCGCCCAGTGCACAAAGAAAGAAGCATATAAATATATTATATATATATATATTGTGCCAAATCTAGTTAAGTAGAACAATTTCAATTTATTTCATTGATTGCATTGCTATGTAGAAACAAACTAGGAGAAAACAAGACAGAAGGTTGCTTCTAAACAAAAGATCTGCTTTTAGATATCTGTGTCTAAAAGCCATTTGTCTGAGTGCATATGGCAGCTCGGATCGGCTGGCATTAATTGAAAAACGCCGCCACCGCCGTCGCCGCCTGATCGAATGATGCATTATCAAACGGAAAGCTTTGCGGCTGAACCGATCCGATACGCTGGGATCCCATAGCCATATAGCATATAGACGATATCTCCGCCCCCGAATCGAGTGGAGAAACATTACCATTTAGGGGCATGTTATTTGATGCTGCGCTCCGTGCTGGAGAATGCATTTCCAGATTACACAACCATTAAACTCACATAATTCGAAGGCACTGATCCATTAATTATGCTTTCGCTTCGGTTTGTTCTGTTCCCACCACGGGGCTATAAATATTATTTTTATTGGAAAAATCTGAGCAGCAACAACAGCATCATCGTCGATTGATGAAGTTGTTCGCGTCTGGCGAAGTTTTATGGGTCCTGGTGCTGCAACGAATTCCCGATCCAATCGCGTTTGCCTTCCCAAGTTGTCTAAAATATTACACAATCGTTGGGCTCTGGTACATTGACTCCTTTCGGCTTATGCCCTGTTTACTTAGCTGCATCTCTTTCTGGCCTTTTGACTACGGTTTGCACAGCTGTTGTATCTGTATCTTTGTATCTGTGTGTTTTGTATCGAAAAATGTGTACAGCTGGCTGTTACTGTCAGTTTCAAATGCTCCGCTTCCTCAATTTGTCTGAGCAAGTGCTTTTGGGGCAAATTGGCCTGTGGCGTTGATTGACCAACTATCGTTTAATTGGACTTACTGGGGAGATAAACCCTTGATCGAGTGCATTATGAAACACCTCTCCCACACTCGCAGCTCATTAAATACCCCATCAATGCCCCCTCAGTTTTTATGCCAGCCAATTTATGGCTCGTGGGCCCCAAAAACTTGAACATTTCGCAATTGGATTCGAATTACTCAAAAATACAACTAGCAAAAAAGCGAACTAGAAAATCCACTGGCAGGAAATGACGAAACTCAAAAATTGGTTTCGTGGATATAGCTGACTTAATATGACTTTAATGAGGACTAATTGCCAACAGTTGGAGGCGATAGAAACGCTCCGAAAAGCTGTCGATCTCAGCAGTTTCTGGAGGAGAAAAAATTTAATTACGCTGAATGATAGCTTTTTAATGTTTGTAGCTTATGGTATTCGATGGTCTGCTATTTATTAGTCATTTCAGAATTTTTCATGTATAATAACTCCATTTAGATGCTCGATTGCATTCTCCAGTCGCTCTACCTCCGATTTCCAGGCAGTTAGTGCATATTTCATGAGTCATTTTTGGCCAGCGCATCACATCCTTTTATGCCTGGACGCCACCATAGTGGCCATGACCATAAATCTATTCTGTTTTATGGCCAGAAGCGGAAACGTGAGTCGCCGCTTTGTGGGCGCATATTTTATATTTTTAGGGCGCAAGAGTCGTAATAGATGCACTTAAACTGTCACTTCAACCGTCCCAGACGGAGTTTTTCCGACATTGACTTTGACACTCGCGAAGTCAACAAACCCGCCAGGATAATATGCAAATCCCCAGGCTCTTTAATTCCTCACTATTTGCATGCTGTGTTTGCTATGTTTGCCTGCCCTGTCTGGCTGGCAAATAAAACTCATCAGGCCAGTTGACAACTCATTAGCTGGGGCATTCAAGGAGGGCTTTCTGGGGAGGAATACCACCTCCTTCACCACGTCCCCGTACAATGAACTCATTTCGGACAAAGTTCTGGTCTGCAACGTGGATTCGTGAACTGGCATTCGCTACTTTTGTTGTCTGACAAGCGCTCATAAATCTGCAACTGCAGCTGGCCCTCATACTTGGAAAAATATTTGTTGTATTGCTGTGAGATTAATTACATGATTTTGCATCATAAGAAAAGCCTAATCCCGAAAATAAATTGTGTTCATTAATTTGCTAAATGCATCGATATTTTTTGATGAAATGGTATCTGTAAGATGCAGCTTTTCCTTTGGAAATTCATACATTATCATTGCAATCTTGGTTTTCTCTGTGTGCAGCTTCCAGTGAATGCAAAGTGGACGTGCCCCATCCCATGCCCACTGCCCTCGATCTGCTCCCCCCGATCTGTCCGATTCCGGACTCCGTCTTCCAGCAGCTGAAAGCAACTCTTTGTGCTGCGCCTGCTGGTTTGGCTCCTTTGTCTGTCTGCCCTGTCATAGATATCATCATTGGGCATTTATTATTTCAGTCCTTCGGTTTGGCGCAGCATCTTCGTGTGCCTGGTTATTCAATTTCCTCCGTACGTAGCAACGTGGCATGTACTTCAACTTCGGTTTCCTTGATGTGCAGGATGGAGCATTCAGGCCACTTGCTATCGCGGACTATCGATTTCTGGGCGACAGAGTGACAAACAATGAGCTGCTTTCCTTTGATATATTGAATTGCATTGTTTGGCCCTGGCTGTCAGTGCATTGCCATTTCCATTTCCACATCCATCTCCACCGGGTGGTGCTGCAGCTCGCATCCAACTCCCAGACTCCCAGACCCCCAATCAACCCATCTTGCTGTCGGTTGTCGGTTGTCGACTGTCGCTTGTCAGTCAATCAATTAGACACCTGTTGCTCGGTGCTTAGGCTTCTACGCTAAAAAGCGAGACAGCTGACATTCACAGACGAACTTCCATATGTCGATAAGTGAGCGCTATAAAAGTCCCCAAAGTAAATATTTTCCTTGATTTATTTAGAAGTTTTAAGCAACTTTTGAAAATGGATTGCCTCGGAAAGCGAAAATGTAAGTTAATCAGTGATCCGGCAGAACAGGATTTTGGATGATGATAGCCTTTTAGTCTTCTGAGTAGCGCACTCTCTCTACCAAAGGAGGGGAACGAGCACTTCCTTCGCCAATTTCCGGCGGTTTGAAGCCGCCATCCTCCATCTTCCATCGGCCATCATCTACAGCATCCTCTGGCCGTAAACTGTTAATCGATTATTAATGACTTTGGCGCAATTAAGTAACAAACAAAGAAAAAATCGCTTCATCGGGCAGCAACAACATGCCATTACCCATTAACAGGCGGCCCCACAAACTTGGCCAAGACAGCAGGAAGAGGGGGTGCGGGGTGCCTGTGTGTTCACTGACAGTAAAAGTTGCAACTTGCTACGTGCAACTGGCAGCTACAGCAACAGTAACAGCAAAAGGCGGCAAGTGCAGGCCAGGCTGCAAGGCAGAAATCTTAAGAAAATCAACATGCAAAACCAAAAACAACTTACGCCTTAAAATGTGAAAATGCGAATGACCCGAATACACCGACACATAGATACACACCCATACAGCTGCGCTGAAATTGATAACATACACGGCGCATGCGCAACACGCCAAAAAGCCTTAAAAGGCACCACAGCCACAACTTCGATGACGACGGGCGACGATTTCCTTTTCTGCGCTTTCAGTTGTTGCTTTTTTCAGCTCCAGGCAAACTAGTTTTACGTACAGTTGGCTAAATACCCTGTAAACGGACGGATAGCAAGGGTATATTCAGTTAATGAGCAAATTAGGCTGATAATATCCAAGGTATACACAGAAAATACCTTATAAGCGGTATATGTTTGAATCCTGACACTTTTTGGGCGTTTTATGCATTGAATTTAAATTCCATACAGGATGCAAGTGATTCGATACCTCATTTACTGAGTGCCACATATTTTCTTGGCTTTTGTTTTTGGCGACAACGATGCCGCCATCGCACTTGCAACTTTTCCTTAATTGGCCAGGCTGTCAGCCCGCTTCGTTGTTTGGCATAAGCAATTTTCATTTATTTATGCAAAACATTCGCAAATATTTATTGAGCATTTTTCACTGGCGCTCTCACGTTGCATTAACACATTTCCCCCAATTTTCAGCCTGTGCCCCAATGAAAACGAAAAGTTCACGTTTTCGATCGAGGAAAACTCGTTTCGTTTGGTTATGCATAACGTTGACAAGCCTCAGATTTTCGTGCGGCATTTGTTTATTTTTTTTACTTTTGTTCACTTTTCGCCATGGCTGAGTGGGTCCAGGTCTAGAGTCCCAGCTGAAGCAGAAGCTCAATGAAGCGCGTAAATTGTGCCGTCAATGTGGGTTAGGAATGGAGTTCTGCAGCTCACATGAGTAGGTGATTAATTCCTCGCATTCAACATCGGCCGTATCGGATGAAAGCCGGTGCGGTAAATTTGTGCAGTTGAGTAATGGTGAGCGGTGCTTGGTCAAATCAATTAGGTTTTAATGGAGTGCTTAAATGAATTAACTAAGGTTGCAACCGGGTACTGGTAGAAACTCGCCGTGGCTTATAAATTGCAATCTTTATCACCTTGGCCTCCGTAGCATAATGGCCACTCCCCTGGAGCATTCCTTGGGATTTTCACCAGCAATTATCGGAACCCACGTCGTAAACACCCAACTACAAGTTGCATTTTAATTAGTTTCGCAGCAAAAGTAAATTAGAAACCAACCAGCCAGCCACTCCCCTTCGTCTGCAGTAAAACGCATCCAGATTGACGTAATCGCATTCCGGGAATTACACATAAGTGGCATACTGCTCCTCGGTTCTGCTGGCTGGCCATTCCATAAAAAGGCCAGCGTCGAATGCCACGCCAATTGTGCTAATAAATGAGCCACTTGCTCTGGGCCCAACAGGTGTTTCGTCTATGGCCATGTCTTTGTTTCCCCTGAATCTCGTTCTTTTTTTCTGCTCAAGCCCTAGAAGGCGGAGGCATTCACAGAGAAAAGCCGACTTGGCCATCGACTTAAAAGGGAAAGAAGCATAAAAAAACAAAAACCCGAAAGCCATAAAAGCCATAAAAGCCAAACGTGTTCTTTTGATTGGTAAAAAGGGGCAGGGGATCGGGGATTGGGGATAGGGGATTGGCACCAAAGAGCGGCCAGCTTCAATGGCTTATAGCCATTCTACAGTTTCTTCAGCTCTGCGCTCCTCCACATTGATTTTCATTGCCATAAATGGCATAATAATTTTGCCCTTGTCTATCTCTTCCATCTCAAGATCTTGTTGAATTATTTCGCATTTGGCTCATTATTGGCTCACATAATTTCTTTATACGGGATCATTAATCACAGCGTTTCCGTCTTGAGGTGTCGAAATCGGAAGAGCCTCAGGCTGCTTTGAAAATCTTTCTTTGGGATCTCATTAATCATGATCTAAACTTATGGTCATTAATGGGCGAGCGAGGTGTGCTTCAGGAGTTTCTAAGGAACTGCAAAGCAATAGCTTGCATTAAAAAATAGTTAAAGGTCAACCATTTTAAAGACCTTCCACTGACACAAGTAAATTGCCAGGATATTCCTATTCCTTGTCTAAATATTTTGCTAATTTCCTCTTCTTTGCCATTTGCGAAACTCAATCCTTCAACCCCTTTTTGCAGGGTTAATTTATTTGCCAGAGGGTTGAATTTCGAGTTGGGCAAATGTTTGCCCAAGGATTTTTTGCTTAGGGACTGCCCCGTCTTTAATTGCGAAGCCCCTTCTTGAAAAAGCTGTACACTTTAGTGGGCATTAGTTTAACAAATTCAATAGCTGCTTGAACTGATCCTCGACGTTTAAAGGGGTCTCGGTGGTGGTTGGTGCTTCGGTGGGTGCCTCGGTGGTCGTGGTAGTGGTGGTGGTGGTCGTTGTGGAGGTCGTGGATGTGGGCTTGGGCATGGGCTTCGGCTTAGCGCGCCCATCCAGGCAGGCCTGCAGGTAGTTGTAGTTCCTGGCGGTGGCCTCCACGTAGTTCCGCTCCGCCCGCTGGCAGCACTGCCCGTGGCGCAGCTCCACCACGCGGTAGCGTTCCTCCAGCACGCTGGCCGACTCTGAGGCGTTTCCCGAGATGCTGTAGGTGGAGACAGTGTTGTTGGAGCCCTGAAATGGTTAGGAATTCATAGTAGGAGATTGTTTGTTTCCTAGCTCGATGGTCCACTCACCACATTGGCATGACACTTGAACGATTCGAGGGTTCCGTTGATCTTGTTGCAAGCCCTGAGCTCACTGCAAACTCTGTCGGATGAAAGTCGGATAGTCCTACGAGTGGCCAGGAAGTCGGAATCGATGCCCTTCCTTGAGTCCGCTGCCGCCGTGTAGCAGCTAGTGTAGTTGGCACTATATAGCTCCGCGATCAGGTTTGACTCGCCAATGTAGCCACCGAAACATGCCACCGAGGCGAAGGGATCCCTCTGCGTCACTCGGGAATTAAGGAACAGACGCGTGAGGCCATCCTGGGTGGGCAGACCCACGTAAGGGGGCAGTGGTCTGCTGACTCCCTCCGCAGGAGACAGTACCAATAAACCGATCACGGCCAGCGAGGCCAGAATTTTCACGGACGACATCTCGGGCCACATTGCAGATATTCACCATTCACCGGAGACAGAAGTTCTTTTGACGCACTGCCTCCGACGGAGACCTCTTTTATATGCAAACTCGATGCTGCTGACAGGCGCGATGATAAGAATGTTATGTGATTTCCTTTCGCGATGCTCTTATCTGTTTTGCAAAACTTTTCTATTGCCTTAGCGCATTATCTTTTGGCCAATGATAAACCATAGATAAACACCAGGCTGCTGTATTGCTTGAATTGTGATCTCCGCGAATTTACGGCTTCCGCGAAGTGCATTTCTTTTTCCATTTACAGCTCCGATTCATATTTTATATGACGCTGGAGAGCACTTCAAAACTGCCGCGATAACTTTCCTCGGCGTGAACGCTTTCTAAGTAGCTGGTTAATATTGGCCCTAGGTAAATACAGTATTTTACGTTGATAAACTCGGGATTCTTTGTGGCGCGCCACGCTCATCCACTGTGCAAATACCCTTTGTTTGGGGCCTAATTTTATAATCAACGCAAATATTGGAACTATGTTCATGACTAGGCTATGTCAGTCGCATTGCGATTAATTGGTTGTAATGGAAGGTGGATGAGTAAGTTATTAAATAGATGTAGTTTCCACGGATCCCCAATACATACGGTTCTGTTTAGAATTAGTCTTTATTTCAGTTTTTTTTTTATTTATCCCATTAGTTATTTATAGGTATTTAACAATCAACAGCGTTATAAGTATTTAATGATTAGATAATAATGCTTACACACTATGTATCACAAACATCCCAGTTACCTTTAACCAAAATCCCAATGCCATTAGAAACATGAATGGTCCTACGACTTTCTGGGCCTTAGACCCACATTTATGCCCGAAGCTGAGCGCAGGATGAAGTTCAACATGGGCTTCAGCTCCTCTCCAAGAGGCAGCAGTTCATAGAACCTGAGGACCTTGCTGATCAGGGCTTTCATTTCCAGAACGGCAAACTTCTGGCCAATGCAGTTCTTGGGTCCCGCACTGAAGGGCACATAGGCAAAGGTATCGTGGCCCTGCTCGCTACCCTCCAAGAATCGCTCGGGCTTGAAGCTGAGTGGGTCTGGGAAGTAATCGGGATCCCGATGGGCGAAGTAGAGAACTAGGTAGATGCTTGTATTGGCGGGAATGGTCTTGTTCCCGATCTTCAGCTCCTGCTGCGCGTGCCTACCAATAGCCGGAACTGGCGGATACAGTCGCATGGTCTCCTTGATCACGCAATCCAGGTACTTCAGGTCCTGTAGCTGGGCTTGGGTCACTGGAGCAGAGGGATCCGGGCCCAGGACGCGCTGCAACTCCTCGTAGATGCGCTGCTGAACCTCGGGATGCCTGGCGATGGCGTAGAGGGCGTGGGACACACCACTGCTGGTGGTGTCATCGCCCTCGAACATGAAGGTGTCGACCTCCTCGCGTATGTCCGCATCGGACAGGGGCTGATTGTTGATGCTCGACTGCAGCAGGATGTCCAGTAGAGCCATCTGCGACTTGCTACCGATCTCGTCATCGCCCAGACCTGCAAGAGATTAGGCAAAAGTCAATGATACCATGAGACTTTCTTGTGAGTCAGTGCACCCACTCAGCGGTCGGTAGGTGCCGTCGGCAATAGCCCGCCGCACGGTTTCTCGCCGCTCGCTGATGACCTTGTCGGTGAAGTCGTGCATGACGCGGATATCGCTCAGCAGTTGGCGGTGCAGCAAAGGTGCCGCCAGCGGGAACAGCCAGTTGTAGCGCCTCGAGAACCTGAACATGCGATCCGGTTGGATATAGACCACACTAAAAGTAGTGGAAATGGGGAAAGTGTAAGCAGAAGTTGAGTTTATATGTGCAATGCCCACCTCTTCAGCGCCTTGACGTAGGGAAAATCGGGGTCCTTCTGGGCATTCACCTGCACTCCCATGGCAGCCTCTGCAAAAATGTCCAATAAATCAATATGAGCATGTAGTTTTCCTTCAATACACAATATAGACTTTTCTACGTCGGTCCAAAACAATTCATGTCAGAATTTAAGTAAATGCACTAAACTAATCTCAGAATTCAACCTCAGAAATCCAGCTTGATTTATTTAAAAGTCAGGTCTAATTTATTTTCATTGAAGTTGTAAAATATCTTAGTCTCATCTCGACTCACCCGTTATCACGTCAAGAGCTGCCAGCGACACATACTTGAGCATATCCACCACTGATTTACCATCGGCCACCTTCCTCAGATTGTCCACCATGACCGCACTATTTCGATCCATGATCTCCACATAGTGTTCAAGGACCTTGAAGTGAAATGCCTGGGTGAAAATCTTCCTCCTGGCATGCCATTTTCGACCCGTGCTAACAAGAAGCCCATCGTTTAGGAACGGTCGTAGATATTGGTAGAGTTGTCCTTTTTCCAGGAGTGTGGTACTGCTCAAGATGGTCTCAAAATACTTGAGGTCCTTCGTGTAGATCAGGGACTCCCCCAAGATCCAAAAACGGAAGGTCTTCCCATACTGGTCAAACTTTTCGCCCACCCATCCGATAATATCTGAAAAGGTTCATTGTGTTAGTTGTTAAGCAATATTACTTTCGTCGTCTATAGTACTCACTCTCCGCTCCCAAGTGAAGTGCCTGGACACCACAGCCCAGGATTGGAATAGAAATGGGTCCTGCGATCCCTGACTTCTTGAAGGCGAGCACTCGTTGGTGCTTGCGTCCAACGTCCCAGGTGAGGAGCAAGATCAGAGTTGCCGTGATCAAGGCTAGCCACATGTTTGCTACTGTTGTGATGACCTTTTGGGAGTGATTAAATGCGCGGATTAGTCCCGAATCGGTTCAGAGTTCGCTGTTTTAATTCGGTTTCACTTTTTGCGTTGTTGAAGCCGCAGCTTTTGTAGATCAACTGTTTGGGCCGAGCGATGATAACCGGCCGCTTGACCAGCCGCGTAATTTGAGTTCACTTTTGAAAACTATATATACTCGTATTCTCTGTACAATCGGATTCTCTGGCTCTCAGCACGCTTCTCTTCGGAAAACTGGTTTCGGTTGAAACATATGATTCGCGTTTTGATTATGAGTCCGAGTGTTGCAAGTCTCCGTATGCGAATCGCATTTAAAGCAGGCTTTTTGTTCTGACAGATAGTCAAAGTGACCATGTCGAGTGAGCAGGTGCTGATATTGAAAGCGTAAAGTGTACATACAGTGAGCATTCGATGCAGTCAAACACAATTAGTTGCTTGCTTTATCAGTTTTATTTGCAACAAAGTGTGCTAAAATTCCAGTTTTTCTAGGTAGTTAGTAAAATAATTATAATCTAAATTATATAAAGCCAAGGTAAAAAGGCTTATAATCGTTTGATAAAATGTTTCCGAATATAAATGCAGCTCGTTTTCTAATTTGCCTCGTAATCCAAACAAAATTATTGACCTTTTTTAACCCCAAAGTAAACCATTTCATTGCGTCGCAGTGTGTGAGGTAAATTCAAGGTAGTAATTAAAGGTAAATTTATGCACCAGACCAACCCCTCGAAAATAGCAAACTCGCGACTTGGCGACATGCAGGGCACCCAGGAAACGGTAGCATCTTCCGATGAGCACAACCAGACACTTGACAAGCCGCCAGTCCAAGCCCTCCAGTTCCTCAGTTCATCATCCCCATCCACCTTTCCCACCAGAAAAAACAGCTGTGACAATCGGAGCGAGGCGACAAGTCACGAGGCCAGACCTCAAGACTACACTTGCAAAAACGGGCAGTAATAATAACAAATCCAATTAAGAAATGAGTTTTCTTTTATATTATAGAAAATTAGTCTTTATTTCAGTGTTTTTAATTATCCCATTAATCACTTATGGGTATTTAACAATCGACAGCATTATAAGTATTTAATAATTAGATAATAATGCTTAGACACTATTATCACAAACGTCCCCGTTACCTTTAACCAAAATGCCAATGAATGGGATGTTAAATGTTTAACCAAAAACATGAGTGGTCCTACGACTTTCTGGGCCTTAGACCCACATTTATGCCCGAAGCTGAGCGCAGGATGAAGTTCAACATGGGCTTCAGCTCCTCTCCAAGAGGCAGCAGTTCATAGAACCTGAGGACCTTGCTGATCAGGGCTTTCATTTCCAGAACGGCAAACTTCTGGCCAATGCAGTTCTTGGGTCCCGCACTGAAGGGCACATAGGCAAAGGTATCGTGGCCCTGCTCGCTACCCTCCAAGAATCGCTCGGGCTTGAAGCTGAGTGGGTCTGGGAAGTAATCGGGATCCCGATGGGCGAAGTAGAGAACTAGGTAGATGCTTGTATTGGCGGGAATGGTCTTGTTCCCGATCTTCAGCTCCTGCTGCGCGTGCCTACCAATAGCCGGAACTGGCGGATACAGTCGCATGGTCTCCTTGATCACGCAATCCAGGTACTTCAGGTCCTGTAGCTGGGCTTGGGTCACTGGAGCAGAGGGATCCGGGCCCAGGACGCGCTGCAACTCCTCGTAGATGCGCTGCTGAACCTCGGGATGCCTGGCGATGGCGTAGAGGGCGTGGGACACACCACTGCTGGTGGTGTCATCGCCCTCGAACATGAAGGTGTCGACCTCCTCCCGTATGTCCGCGTCGGACAGGGGCTGATTGTTGATGCTCGACTGCAGCAGGATGTCCAGTAGAGCCATCTGCGACTTGTTACCGATCTCGTCATCGCCCAGACCTGCAAGAGATTAGGCAAAAGTCAGTGATGACATGTGATGGCATGAAACTTCCTTGTGAGTCAGTGCACCCACTCAGCGGTCGGTAGGTGCCGTCGGCAATAGCCCGCCGCACGGTTTCTCGCCGCTCGCTGATGACCTTGTCGGTGAAGTCGTGCATGACGCGGATATCGCTCAGCAGTTGGCGGTGCAGCAAAGGTGCCGCCAGCGGGAACAGCCAGTTGTAGCGCCTCGAGAGCCTGAACATGCGATCCGGTTGGATATAGACCACACTAAAAGTAGTGGAAGTGGGGACAGTTTTATCAGAATTTGAGTTTATTATGTGCAATGCCCACCTCTTCAGCGCCTTGATGTACGGAAAGTCGGGGTCGTTCTGGGCATTCACCTTCACTCCCATGGCAGACTCTGCAAAACGATCCAATAAATCAATACTGTATATGAGCATGTAGTTTTCTTTTAATGCACAATATAGACTTTTCTACGTCGATCCAAAACAATCATATATCCAGGTGGTAGCAGAATTAAGTAAATGAATTTATCTAAAGAAAATAAATAAATATAAAAATAAAACCTAAAAAGAACCAATTCTCAAAAATCCAACGCGATTTATTTAAAAGTCAAGTCTAATTTATTTTAATTTAAGTTGTAAAATATCTTAGTCTCATCTCGACTCACCCGTTATCACGTCAAGAGCTGCCAGCGACACATACTTGAGCATATCCACCACTGATTTACCATCGGCCACCTTCCTCAGATTGTCCACCATGACCGCACTATTTCGATCCATGATCTCCACATAGTGTTCAAGGACCTTGAAGTGAAATGCCTGGGTGAAAATCTTCCTCCTGGCATGCCATTTTCGACCCGTGCTAACAAGAAGCCCATCGTTTAGGAGCGGTCGTAGATATTCGTACAGTTGTCCTTTTTCCAGGAGTGTGGTACTGGTCAAGATGGTCTCAAAATACTTGAGGTCCTTTGTGTAGATCAGGGACTCCCCCAAGATCCAAAAACGGAAGGTCTTGCCATACTGTTCGAACTTTTCGGCTGCCCATCCGGCAATATCTGAAAAGGGCTTATAGTGTTAGTTATTAAGCAATATTCCGTGGTCTAAAGAACGCACTCTCCGCTCCCAAGTGAAGTGCCTGGAGACCACAGCCCAGAATCGGAATAGAAATGGGTCCCGGGATCCCTGACTTCTTGAAGGCGAGGACTCGTTGGCGCTTGCGTCTAAAGTCCCAGGTGAGGAGCAGGATCAAAGTTCCCGTGATCAAGGTTAGCCACATGTTTGCTACTGTTGTAATGTCCTTTTGAGAGTGATTAGCCCCGAATCGGTTCAGAGTTGGTTGTTTCCCTTTCGGTTTCGGTTTCCCTTTTTGCGTTGTTGATGCCTCAGCTTTTCTAGATCAACTGTTTCTTTCAGTTTAGTTTTGAAAACTATATAATCTCTGTACAATCGGATTCTCTGGCTCTCAGCACGCTTCTTTCCGGGGAACTGGTTGTGTTTGAAACATATGAGTGTTGCAAGTCTCGGTATGCGAATTGCATTCAAAGCGGGTTTTTGTTCTAACAGAAAATGTAAAGTGTACTTACTGCATTCGGTGCAGTCAAACAAAATTAGTGGCTTGCTTTATCAGTTTTATTTGCAACAAAGTGTGCTAAAATTCCAGTTTTTCTAGGTAGTTAGTAAAATAATTACAATCAAAATCACTGCAAAATGGCTTATAATCGTTTGATATACAATGTTGCCGAATTATATGCAGCTCGTGCTCTAATTTGCCGATCGAGTAAAAGGCTTAGACCCGAATTCAGGGTGGTAATTAATGGTAAATTTATGCACCGGACAAACCCCTCTAAACCAAACCTCAAGACTACACGTGCAAAAACGGGCACTAAAATTAACAAATCCAATTAAGAAACAAGATAGAATGCTATAGTCGAGTTCCCCGACTATCAGATACCCGTTACTCAGCTAGAGTAAAACTTAAAATTTTTTTAAAGGTGTGGGCGTGTCAAAATCTATTGAAATTTATAAGATATATAAAATAGTGAAAAAATACCACATCATTTTTCAAAAGTGTGGGCGTGACAGTCTTTGGCGGTTTGTGGGCGTGGGAGTGGGCGTGTCAACATTTGGAAACACACTTGCGCTGCGTCTATGTCTCTGGAAGCTGCATGTTTAATCTTAAATTCCAGCTTGTAGTTACTGAGATCGAGGCGTTCATACGGACAGACGGACGGACAGACAGACATGTCCAGATCAACTCGGTTATTGATCCTGATCCAGAATATATATACTTTATATGGTCGGAAACGCTTCCGTTTGCCTGTTACATACTTTTCGCGAATCTAGTATACCCTTTTACTCTACGAGTAACGTGTATAATGAGATATATTTTATTTTTTAGAAAAATATCTTATAGTGACTGTGAATCAGTATCACTATGTGTCTGCTTACAATGAGAACATTATTAATCTTAATCCATTCAATGTTTTCCATAGTATGAAAAGAAAGGTCATTTTGTATTGATTTGAAAAGATATTACTTCGTGTAATAACTTCGTGTTAACCAAAAGTTATTTTCTCCGAGTGTAAGACGCCTCCAGTTGAATGGACTGCGATTGCTGCTCGTAGTTCTGGTTGCCGTTGTTCCCGGTTAACTCGTTGAACTTGGCGGCAGAGTTCATTGGAGTTGAAGTAGAAAACCGGGATGAGGGCATGGGTTCGGAAGCACTGCGATATGGGCGGAGCAAGTCGGCGGAACACCGGAGACAGTCGTAGCAAGTACATTCACTTGGCGGTCAATTAAGGCACTCGGATGACATCCGCACATGTTCCGCCGACATGGTCGTGGGCCTGGCCAGAAAACAAAACAAGTTATCAAAACGTCGAAAAGCCCGAAAGAAGTTTACCTTTTTCCGCGACGATGACGCTGTTCCTCTGACGCCAGCAGAACGGTAAATGGGAGCGTCACATCAATACATATATATATATATGTATCTGTTCTATAGCAGATACCAGATATAAGCAGAAAGAAAAGCAAACAGTCGGCCAAATTGTAGACCATCTGAAAAGCGTCGACTCACGTTATTCCCAGGGAAACTGAAGCGGAGAGCGCAAGAATTTCATGGTGGAGTAATAGAGGTAATTATGCGGGTCCCAGAGTTGGGGAAAATATAGGAAAACTCAATCAATAAGTGCACGCCCATCTGCAAGACCGGGAAAAGGCCGTGACAGGCACGTAGTACTGACAACCCCAATGAAAAATGGATTTCCCCGCCCCTAATGGGATTCATATAGAGCTGCATCCCAGATCTTAACCAGCCGTAAGTGGGATTCGAGGAAAGTCCTTTGTCTGGCCTGCCCAAAAAACGCATGTTTCCTGCTTCCGCTGCAGTCAAGACACGAAGTCACTCAACTGCCATTTACCCATGGCCCCGAACTCCCAAAAAACTACCCAATCTCCCCCGGATTCAACACCCCCATCCATGGCCATTGGCATCGAACAAAGAGCCGGGCTGAGTTTTGTTTTGACGCATTTTCGGCGTTGCCCCGGCAACCGGCAAACCGAGGAACCAAAAGAATAACACGTCTGGGGATCCCCCAGTGGGGGGGGGGGGTCTGGGCGGTGGATGGTGGGCGGAGGGTGTCGGGTGGTTATGCTCACGGAGGGTTGCTTCTGCCGACAGCACGTGTCTGGGGTACTGCGCCTGCTCGTGGAAAAACAACAGCAGCTGATTGCGGGAGTTCCTCAACAAAGTTGCGGAGGCAAATGTTGCCAAGTGTTAACCCCAGAAAGGTTGAAGGTCAAAAAACTACAAATCTATCTTATAAAACCTGTAATGTAATACTTATTAAAATAAATCTATTTTGAGGCGAAATCTGCAAAGTGCGAAATATTAGCTAAACAGCTTTTTGCTGAGTAACAGTGCAAACCATTGCCAAATTTCGATTTCACAATGCAAGCTAAAAGTCGCGACACCTTGAACTTGAGGTGAAATTGTAGCATTTAACTCAGAGTAACAATTAAGCAAGATTTTCAGCGGGGCGAATAAGCAAAACTGCTAAACAAAAGGCCCGAGAGTTGGTAACGATTTCTAAAGCTTCCACTGGGTCGGCCTAATGAAATGTCGAATGGCCAGACAAAAGAGCAAAGCAGCCAAGCAAAAAGCGAAAAAGCTGTAAGCCCATGTTGACGTCGTAATTTTGCATCATTACCACCGCCTTCAACTGCTCGCCTCCGACTTGAAGAGCGGGCAAACTGCGGCGTGGGAAAGTCAACCCGACGCGATCTTGAATCTGGCCAACTATGGGATCTGGATCTCCGATCTGGAATCTCGGATCTCTGGGATCTCCGCTCATTGTCCGGATCTTCATTGCCTTTCATTGCTCTCAGCAACTGGGCTTGGCGCCTTCGTGGGTAATTGTCACTCTTTCGGCTGCCAAATCGCCGCTCTTGCGAGTCCCATTCGCTTTCAGCCATAATTCATTGCATAAGTCAATTTCTGCTTACCTGGTGATTTATATGATGCGATACATTACCGGCAATCCACCTGAGTTTCATATGGCTGCACTGGCAAAAAAGAGTGGCTTAAGATCTCTTAAGATCGCCTTAAACATTACCAGTAAACATTAGTCACAAGGTCATATATATAGAAGAAATATGTACATGTCCTTAAAATAAGTTTACGACAATTTAAATTATTATTGTAGATTTCTCTGAGTGCTGCCACACGATCAAATTCTGATATCATTTTGCGGTTTGCCATCAAGTCAGACGCTTCTGTTGGGAATATATCATATTTTAGTATTATTAGCTGCGAGACATTATTATTTTTACTTATTCAGCCTCAACTGCGGCTGTAACCTTGCTGAAAACCGCTCAAACTCAAACAGTTGCCAGGGCCGTTGATTTATTGTTGGCTTTAAATCGTTTTTCTCGAACCGGGTACTTGACATAGAGACAATGACAGAGACCCTGTAGGAACGAAGAGTTTGCATTGATCGGCATCGTGAGTGCAGCAGGCACTCTTCACATAATTTATATGAGGTATTTTTGCATACATTTTCAACACCTTGAGGGAATCTGTGGGTTTACAACTCCATTAGAGATCATTCCGTGTGAGGGCCTCATAAAGCCAAGGCTTGATGGCGTGCCATGTTTATGCCGCGCCAAATAGTTTATAAAACAATTCATTTTGTTATATCATTAAGTCCCCATAAACCGCTGCCGCATTGCCAAACTGATCGCGTGATCACTCTCAGTCTCGGCTCACATTCACTTTTGGCCAAAGAAATTTCAATTTTAATTACCGCACTGGGTAATTCAATTACAAAACGCGAGTGAGCTGAGCAAGTGGACTGCTGATCAACGATCCCTGGAATGGCTTCTAATTATATGCAGAAGCGTCTCAATTCCGTGGAAACCGAGCTCCCAGCTGTCAGTCGTGTGGAATGGAGGTGGTTTCTGTAGCGTTTTCATATATCTTCAGGGTGTGCCCCAGCATGTCCATTCACCGCACCCAGGAGTTTGGCACTCAAACTAATTGCTTGCTAAACGCTTTCCAAAGGGCAATTACTGCACTAAGAACTATAGCTATCGACTGTGGAAACAAAAGAAGTTCAAGCACGGGGGAGCCACTCGCGTGTCTGCCCTGTGACCTATGGCTCCTGGCCAGAGATTCTCCCCAATGCCAATCTCACGCCACCACCATCGCGTCTGCAATTTCTACCATTATTCCATTAGCCAGGCTTTTACCTTGATTTCACGTTTCAGCAGTTGTGGCTAAACTTTGAACTTTACCAATCCCATTTTCCGTGCGGTTATGCATGGTAATTGAAATCGAGTTTGATTTGAGTTTCAATAGGGATTTTTTCAGAGATGTATGGAGGATATGGTGCAGATAATGCATTTGAAATAATTTCCGTTTGAGTAAATAGAAAATCTTTCCAAAAGTAAGATATTCTGAAGTAGGGTATGATTGAGGTGCTAAAACGCTCTTCCTACTTTTATAGTCGTCACGCTACTCCTGAACAGATTTACACGATCAGCAAACAGTGGAAAGTGTCCGGCATTTTAGGTAGATGAGGTCCGAAAACCCAGCACCTGGTCAAAAATTGTCCAAATTAATATGCAATTTAGCTGTCAGCAGCTTGGCTGTTTGTTTACCTGCCGTAGGTTCGCAGGTGCCGAGCCTCGGTGGGATTGGGATTGGGACTCAGATGGGTACACGGTATACCTAGGTGTACTGGGGCCCAGTCTATGTTGCCTGCTCATTCGTCTTTGTTCGCTCGTCGCGTGCAGTCCGCTATTCAATCGCTTTTCCAGTGCCTCTTGGCGTAAAGGAACCACGTGCAGAGTTTTCCCAAATGTGAGTGCACTTCGTTTTTTCTTTTCCACTGCCGTTGCCAAATCGAAATCCAAACAAGTTCTTAGCGGTTTCTGAATGCCGCCTGTGGTTCCGTATAACCCGTGACATATATAAATGCCGGACCCATTTCGTTGGGGGTTTGGGTTCCGCTCGACTTTGACTCACGCTGCGAGATATTTTTCAAGGCGGTCCGAATCCAGAAATCAAAATGTACCGAATCGTGTCCGGTGACTAATAAGTGTCTGGTCAGAAGTTTATGAAAAATCTCCGAGTCGTTAACGGTGCCGCACAAAAAAAGACGCAGTGAATATAGAAGGCGGTTTCCATGCGATGCAGATACAGATATAGAATCTTGTTTTGCTGAGACGAAGCCCAGCTTTTGATCAATGGAAGTGCTGAATGAAATCTGCTAGGAAATAATAACGATTTCGAGTGGAATCTATGACTTGGAGGATAATCCCATGAGCCAAGCAATCAACTTGTCTCATTAGCCGCCCGCGGTTTTTTAATGTCAATGTCTGACGTCAATAAAAATGAAACCCGGCCATAACAATAACCGATCCGACGACCATTTGCAGAAGAAAATTCCATCGCCATTTGTGAGGAAAATCGCTGCCCAGCGCCTAATAAAATCCATGGTCCATGGATGGTCCCCTATTAAAGGAGAAAGTTGGTTTGGTTTGGCTGCAGAGGAGGGCAAAAAATCTCAGCAGAAATAAAAGGCCGACTGACCGTCGATCGCTTCCTGTGTATTCTATTCGAAGGGGGACGTTCGAATAAGGAGGCTCACCTCGTTCATTAGTGGCCGGGAAAATGCCATGTCACGAGTTTCCTATTAAGATGGGGAAAATGGAAACGGATTGTGGAGTCCATTGAGGAAAACGCACGTTTTCAGCAATTCCTGCATGCATTCGTATCTGCACTCGAAGCTCTCTATCTCGTATCTGGTGGATTCGCACCTTAATTGCCACACTTTATGCACACTTTTAACGCTCTACCGTCTGTATCTTTCTCTTGCAGCAATCTCGTTGCGAAAAGCAAAAGTCACTCGGGCATATCAGCACCCATCGGCCTTGGCCCCCAGCTACCACCTCTTCCCCTCGGCGGCGGCTTTGTTAAGTTGCGTCATGTAGCCAAGGAGGAGGATACCAGTAGCAGCAGCACCACATCCTCCGCCAAGGAATCGCCAGATAAGAAGGATCTCAGCCAGGAGCAGGCAGAAGCTTCGGGAGACTCATCGCACCCAACGGCTTTGCCACAGTTTCTTCAAGGCGTCCAACGATCATTAACCGAGGTGAGTGTGGTATTTCATAGGTTTCTTTTCAGATGGAAAAAGTTAAGTTAGTTATCTCAATTTGATAAGCATTGCTCACTCAGAGTCAAGAATGAATCAAAACAATTATCAGTGCCCCTTGGATAATTTCAATACAGAAACCCACTAATTCTATCTGACCCAGTGTCAATTAAACCGATTCACGTGTGAGCTGATGCCAACCATCCATTATCCATTTATCCAGGTCATGGGCCCCGATCAGCGGTCTTTGGTGATTTCGAAGACCGGCTCCATTGCGGAGCGTTTAGCGGCACTCCACAAAAGTGGCGAGGACGACTGGAAGAAGCGCATCTCGAAGCGCGACGAAGTCGACGATGTGCACCGTGAAAACTTCGTAAACGTGAGTACCCACCGCTTTTATCTTGCATCTTCAATCTTGAATATGGAGTATGTAGTGTATATGGTATCTGAAAGATAGGTTAAGCTGCGATGCATGCGGTGGTCTGCTGTGGACCGCAACGAATCCGATCTCGATCGCAATTGCGTGAAAATGGTTTCCTTATTGCTAATCGTTTTGTTTATTAACGTTGTTGCACTTTTCTCTGCAATTTCTGCAATGCGCCCGTTGTTCGTGCAATGCCAACTGAGCGTTAAACCTGACGGCAATGACATAATAATGCGAAAAGTGCAAGTGATACCAATCGCGGAGGGATGAGGATGCGGATGGGTGTGTTATCTGTTGAATGTGTGTGACTTACATCCGAGGCAAGGGAGTGACGTAATTGGAGTGCATATTTCGCGATAAGATGGCTTGCTAAGAGCTGTGTATATTATTATTATGAATAATTAGAATGGATAATAACGCCAAGAAGGCCGTTCTACACTCACCCAGCCTAAATACCTGTAAACGTCTCACCGTTACTGATATGCAATATTCGATAAGAAACAACTACTGACATCTCCTTTCGTTATTATTTATTGCTAAGAGAATTAATTTTATTCATTGAAAAGTATGTAACAGGCAGAAGGTAACCTTTCCGACCATATAAACTATATATGTATGTTCTTGATCAGGATCATGTCGATCAAGATAGAATATCTTGTTTTAATTTTTTTATATTTTTTCTGATGTCATGCTTTTGCAAAAATTAAAAAATGACCTTGTCTTATTCGGATTTTGAAGTTGAATACCACCAAATGTTTCTGGAGCAATTCTCTAAAAATCTGCATTCAAATTTAGAATTTTTTTTTTTTTATTTTTTTTGTCATTTTTTTCTGATGTTATGATGTTGTGGAATATCAAAAATGTCTCATGACTGAAGGTTTAAAGTCCATAACTCAACTTATCTTAATCGGATTTTGAAGTGGCATACCTCTAAATGTTTCTGGAGCAATTCTCTAAAAATCTGCATTCAAATTTGAAAATATATTTTTTCAACATTTTTTTGTAATTTTTCTGATGTCATGATTTTGTGGAATATTAAAAATGTCCCATGACTGAAGTTCTAAAGACCATAACTCAACTTATCTTCATCGGATTTTGAAATGGCATACCTCTAAATGTTTCTGGAGCAATTCTCTAAAAATCTGCATTCAAATTTGGAAATATATATTTTCAAAATTTTTTTGTAATTTTTTTGATGTTATGATGTTGTGGAATATCAAAAATGTCCCATGACTGAAGTTCTAAAGACCATAACTCAACTTATCTTAATCGGATTTTGAAGTGGCATACCTCTAAATGTTTCTGGAGCAATTCTCTAAAAATCTGCATTCAAATTTGAAAATATATTTTTTCAACATTTTTTTGTAATTTTTCTGATGTCATGATGTTGTGGAATATTAAAAATGTCCTATGACTGAAGTTCTAAAGACCATAACTCAACTTATCTTCATCGGATTTTGAAGTGGCATACCTCTAAATGTTTCTGGAGCAATTCTCTAAAAATCTGCATTCAAATTTGAAAATATATTTTTTCAAAATTTTTTTGTAATTTTTCTGATGTCATGATGTTGTGGAATATCAAAAATGTTTCATGACTGAAGGATTAAAGTCCATAACTCAACTTATCTTAATCGGATTTTGAAGTGGCATACCTCTAAATGTTTCTGGAGCAATTCTCTAAAAATCTGCATTCAAATTTGGAAATATATTTTTTCAACATTTTTTTGTAATTTTTCTGATGTCATGATGTGGAATATTAAAAATGTCCCATGACTGAAGTTCTAAAGACCATAACTCAACTTATCTTAATCGGATTTTGAAGTGGCATACCTCTAAATGTTTCTGTAGCAATTCTCTAAAAATCTGCATTCAAATTTGGAAATATATTTTTTCAAAATTTTTTTTTGATTTTTCTGATATCATGATGTTGTGGAATATCAAAAATGCCCCAAGACTGAAGTTCTAAAGACCATAACTCAACTTATCTTCATCGGATTTTGAAGTGGCATACCTCTAAATGTTTCTGGAGCAATTCTCTAAAAATCTGCATTCAAATTTGGAAATATATTTTTTCAAAATTTTTTTGTAATTTTTCTGATGTCATGATGTGGAATATTAAAAATGTCCCATGACTGAAGTTCTAAAGACCATAACTCAACTTATCTTAATCGGATTTTGAAGTGGCATACCTCTAAATGTTTCTGGAGCAATTCTCTAAAAATCTGCATTCAAATTTGGAAATATATTTTTTCAACATTTTTTTGTAATTTTTCTGATGTTACAATGTGTAGAAATTATAATATGTCCAAAGAATGAAGTTCTAACAAGCCTATTCGGATTTGAATTCTGAGTTTTACACTGCAGTTTCCTGCCTCACATGATAATTTTACATTACGTATACGTCGTGTAACTACATGTTGTATACATAAAAAATGTTGCATACACTCAGGCATAGCGCCACCACTCGCGCAAAACGGCGTGTGTCTCTCGCAAGAAATATTGCATACTTTTAAGGTGACCACTGCCCAACTTTGCATTGATTTTCAAATGAAAACGAACTTGTGCACCTTTTTTTGGGGGAAGTGCAAGTTTGGCAGGTTTGTTGTTTTCACTAGCCAACCCAAGAGCTTCGCCTGCTTTTGCCTTATTATTTATGGGCATGAGCACTTTGCGGCTGCTATCAGACCTGGTTTAAAATCCGATTCCGCTTGGACTGTCAATTAGCCGATCCATTGAAAATTGCCGCTGGCTTTTGGCGAGACATGAAGTTTAGTGAACTCTCTCTAGTAAACGGTTACTTCTGGTTCCTAATTATGCGGGTAGTCTTCGCCCGCCCTTTTCGCGCCTTTCCCCAAAGTAGTCCCCGAAGTAATCACACTTAATTACTGGGGCTCCGCCTCTTATACGAGTTTATATGTATATATGGTGCCCACCATCCCATCGTCTGTTGGGAGAGAGAAATTGTGAGGAAATCGTGTCAGAGCGATCTTCTGACCCACACACCAAACAAAATGCATATTATATTCCCCACTCTCAGGCCAAATGAGTTTTCAAGTGCTGTCGCTTTTGTTATTGTTGTGGCTGCTACAGCTGTTACTGTTTTGGGTTCCCTATTTTCATAGTGGCTCAGTGCACTGGGAGAAATAATTGTGTCTTCTTCTTGCGAGACTTACAATATTAACATTACATTGTATTACGAATTAAGTATTATCTTCTGTGTGCTTAACAGTGGGACAAGGTCAATGGGCAGAGCATATATTTAGACACGATACATCATCTGAAAGGGAGTGCCCATAGTTCTACCCTCATTTTCCACTCACGACACTTGACGCCCATTATAGTACAATTTATTAATAATTAAGATGAATTTCTGTTTTCTCTGCTCTGATGGACGCGAGACACTCGAATTCATGCGCTGTTTGGCAGACGTCCCAGGTGGCGTATGCGCAATTAGTCTGCCCAACTCTTTGACGCAGTCCCCAAGCGCGTGTCAAGGCAGAAAGAAATCTTTGTAATTTAGCACAATTTATCAGGCCACGATCGCAGAAAGCCAGCGAGCAAACGAGCGCAGCAAATGAAAATGCGCATAATAATGAAGGGCTCGCCAGAGCAGCATCCAGAATACAGCATCCAGAATCCAGCATCCAGCATCTAGCAGCCAGGAGTTTCGGTTCCAACAGGGCAGCTAAAAATATATAGACAGTGTCTTGTTTGCTGCTCCTGCCTTCACAATTTGGAGGCAACTGCCAACTTACATTTTGCCATAATTTTCCAAACTTGCCTTGTGGGCTGTGGCAAGAGCAGCATCTGGAAAGCAAAAGCAACAGCAACTGCAGCAGCTAGAACACACACTCAGAAAAAATGTATCAATTTGACAATTTACTTTTGGTTCCATAGTTACTAGAGGCAGTTCTATAAACTTTAAAATATGTTTCAAAAGCATTCGTATGATCTTTAAGTTGTTTATTACATCTTACCACTCGATGCGGCAAATAGCATATATTTTTGGGTAGCTTACTTACGTTTTTTCCCTAAAGGTAGCAACAATTACAAAGTAAAGAAATAAAGATGGAAAAGGAGGCGAACGAAGGTTTCTTTTGGACCGCTTCTAACTGGCTGAAGTTGTTGTTTTAGGGGCTTCGCAGGGTCCGCAGCATTTGATCTCTGCCTGGAGATCTTGAACGTGCTCATCTTCCAGCTGCAGGCCTCGCCTCATGCTGTTGTAAATTGTTTTGTAAATTTGATATACTTGCAGTTTTGTGCCGCAGCTCTCCGCAGTCTACTTCATTATCATTGTTGCCATTGCTGCTGCAATGTTGCTGCGATGTTGCTGCTGTACTTGTTCATTAGTCCATGCCCTCGCCGCAGCGACAACAGCAGCGGGAAGGGGCGGAAAAACAGCAGTAGCCCGAGCTGTTCATAAACTTCTAAAATCAACTGCGGCCCTCTGTTTTCTCCATTTGTATCTGTATCTGTATCTGTATATATGTATATATCTGTGGCTGTATCTGTATCTGGCCGATGTATCTACAAGCTGCAAGAATGCCTGCTTATTGCTGATTACTTTTATTGCTTCTGTGTGTGATTCATTACTTCTTGCGATAAGGTGGCTTGTTGCTCTCGATGCTCTACCAATTTTCTTAGCTCCGTGGTAGCTATTGAATTTTTAGACAATTACATCATTGTGCCTCATGCTGTTGAACTTGCATTGGTTTATTTTTAGTGCGACTAAATAAATTTCGCGTTAGGCCTTCTCGGCTGCCTTCTTCTCTGGTGATTCATCCCATCAGCTCGGGCAGATGTGGGCCCAGCCCAAAAATTTCGTTGTCCCTTTTTATGTGGTCACATTCCAGTCACGAAGTGTACAGAAAATGTCTGTGTACGTTGATGATCGGTTTCAGTTTTTGTATAAGAAAACGTAAGACTTTGAAACGTAAGACAGCTTCTTAAAATATTTTGAGAAATAATACAAAATCTTCCAACTTACGGTTGCAAAATAACCATTATCTGGTCAGTTGCAAAGCTGATATTTATTTTTTCAAATTCCCCCGCACTATATTTTACCCTTCTTCCTGGCTTGCCCACAATGATCTTGTTTATTACGCTTAGTTTAATTTAAAAAGCCTCCTAAGCTGACGTCTTCGCAGCCTCGTCTTCGGAGACTCGGAGCTTCGTTTTCCTCGAAGACCCGGCTTTTGGAAGAATCCGATCCGATGCGATGCGATACGATCCCAAGTTCCCGACTTCGGCAGTCTGTAAATTTACGAGGCAGTTTGAATCGCGACTTGGAAGCGAGTGGTTCGCACTTCGCAGCGGCAATTCGACTTTGATTTAAGCTCTCTATTCGCCTGACTTTGTTGCTATTGTTATTAGTATGCATTATTACCCGCTGCCGGTTTCAATTGACATTAAAATTGATAAGCGGCAACTAAAAATAAAAATAAAACAGCACTTGCCCGTTGCGAGTTGCATAAAAAGTAATGCGAAGTGGTTTCCTGAGTTGCATAAACTGTCGAATGCAGCAGGAAGCGAATGGCACTGTTTTTATTTATCTATATTTTTTTGGTTCGCATTCGCTTGGCTGGCTGAAAAGAAAAAGTGAAATATGAAATTATGAAAAGCGATACATGTATAAATACCAAAGTGTTTCAAGGCTGGCTATTCCACTTGTGCGCACAAATAAGAAAAATACATACGTGACAACCCACCCACCTGCAAATACAAAACTTTCTCAAAGTGCGACTGTCAAAATAAAATCTTTGACATGAAATCTCCGAAGTGACCGCAATCTCTTTGGCCATTACAAATCGCGTAGAAAAGATTCGGAAACAGAACCAGAGCCCACGCAAATGATTCAGAAATAAGCATTACACTTTGCTCGACACAAAATGTGTTCTGCCATCCAAAAGGCGCATCTGTTTCCACTTCTAGTTGCGATGCAAATGTCTATATTAGATGGGAAGATTTTACAGAAAGATGGCACAAATTTCTAAGGGGCGCAAATCAACAATTAGCAATAATTTCCCATAAATCACAAAGGGGGCACCCCAGTTGCTCAGTTTTGTTGCTGCTGATCGTGCTGCTCTATATTTGGCTTATTTCCCTACGTGAGCTGTTTGCTTATGTCGCGTCTCTGATAAACCAGGCAAATTGCACCCAAGATGGCACAGAGTGCAGTGGAAATGTGGAAACCCCTGCAAATATTGACACTAATTTTGCGAGATAAATAATACATTGCTACAAAGAGCATCTGCCTAAATGAAATGAATTATTGAGAAGTTCGCAGAAAATAATATACTAGCATAACAAGTTGTACAAACGATATTACACTTTAATAATATTGAGCTATTTATATTAAAAATGGCATTTAAAAATGGCAATCATAATACAAAAATTGTAATGTGTATGTTGCAAATTTATGGCAGTACACACGGTACAAACTTCGCAAAGGGTTAAGGTTTGCTGAAAGAACTTCTTTGAAATGAAAGTTGCCCATTCGCTGGCTCCCTCGCACCCGCACGCTCTTATCAGACACAACCAACTACTTGACCCAAGGAGACCCAACCAGAACAACAACAACTGCAGTGGCAGCCCCAACAACAACGCAACTACAGCACAACAGCATCCGCAGATTGCAAAGAGGAATTCTGCGCAAGTGCAGCAGGTTCGCTCTCTTGAGAGAGAGAGAGCGCGCGGCGGCTGCGCTCCCCAAAGAGAGCAGCCAAGCGGCAGAGAGAGAGAGTGGGAGAGAGCAAAAGCTCCCCGCTTTGGGGAGCAGTTTCGTATCGCACCGCTGAATTTCGCATCGGCACTCGCGTTCACGTTCACGTTCACGTCTGAGTTCGAAAAGAGGAGCCGAAGAGAGGAGAACGACCGCGAGGCGCAACGGAACACAAAAGGCGCCCAAAAAACAAAAGAATCCGATCCGAAACAGTTCGCAAACAAACCAAATTGCAGCGAAATAAATAAATAAATAAGCTCGGGATATCAGATGTCGGGCAAAGATAAAAATACGCACTTATGAAAATATAAATATCAATATCAATGCAAGCTGCAGTCGCAAAGTGCACAACGCAGTGGACACCACTTGAAGAAAGGTGTGTGGGTGTGTGTGGGGATAAAATCCTTAAAACTACGAAACTTTGGATACGAGCTTGCAATGCTTTGGGCATCACTCAGAATTTTCTAAATGTCTTTCCTAGTTATTTTTTCTTTTTATCCAAAGTGAATTTAACTTAAGCCAAAGGGTAACAAAGCATTGCAAAACTCAAAACAAAGCTTAAAAAACATTTTAACTGGAAGTTAAATACATAAATAAATAACACCAATATCTGCAAAATGAAATGACCAGCTCTTGAAAACACGTTAAAAACTAAAGTCCAACAAAATCTGGATAATTTCCAGCACCCTTTCACAAATAAAGAACATACATATGTACATATATTTTTGTGGACACAAAAAGAAAAACGCGAACTAAATACATAAACCAGTCACGGAAGACATTGCTAAATAAATAAAAACTCCAAGTAAATATTTTGCAATGTGTTCCGTTCTGCAAGCAAGTGAATGCCAGCAGTAAAAATAAATAAATTATCCCATTATTAAACCAATCCTCTTGCAGAGTGATGTGATGTCATAATAAAACTTTGCCCTTATCGACAATATAAAAAAAGTGCAAAAACGATATCAGCGAAAAAGCGAGGTAAAAGTTAATAAATACCTGCCAACCAAATCGAATTGCAATTAGTGATAACAAAGCAAGCATGACGGACTACACGGATTACGTGGAAACCGCCTGGAAGTATGCGGAATGGCTACCTTACCTCCTCGTCTCCTACGTGGTAGTCACCCTGCTCCCCAAGTCCCTCATCCGGATGAAACGCTTCGCGGACGCGGACTACGAGGCAAACAGGAACATGTTCCACCGCTGCTACGGCCCAGAGCTGTGCTGCCATGTCCTGGCCCAGGAGCAGGTCGCCGGAAAGGTGAAACCCAAGGCCAGGAAGCCCGTGACCCGGGTCTATCCCAAGCGTCAGCAGGCGGCGCCCAAAGCGGAGCTGCCGCCTCCAAGTCCAGCGCCCGTGAAGCGGAGCAACGTCACCAAGATAGCCAGGATGTTTGAGACGGGCACCACGCGCCAGGTGAGCCGGGTGGCACCCATAACGCTGCCCGAGATCAGGATGTTCGGAGCGAGCGATGAGTCCAGGGACTCCACGCCCTGCGCCTCGCGGAAAACTAGCATCGCCAGCCAGCTCTCCGCTCAGCTGCAGCACATCGAGCAGGCGATGCACCTGTGGCAGGAACTGGATGAGGAGCCCGCCAAGAAGTCCTCCGGCCACAGCGACTGGGAGCCCATGGCAGTGCCGGTTTCAAGACGTACCCGTGGTACCTCTGCCACGCCCTCCACCGCCTCCCCGCTCTCCAGTTCCCCGGAACCGGAGCACTCCCGCTCTCCGGTTCTCCTAAGGAAGCCGCCTTCCCTGTGCCTGCAGACCAGCATGGAGGACATTTTCCAAGTGATCGCCCGGAGTGCCGAGGAGCCGGAAGACTGTCCGGATTGCCAGTGCCTCTCGCCGGTGACCAGTATCGATGATATTCTCTCCGAACGGAGGTTCTCACGCCCCCTCTCCGCCTACTCCATCACCGATCTCCTCAACGAAGAGCAGGCCTCCTGTATCGAGGAGACCACGTACATCAACGAAACCAGATGAAACCAGATGAGGAGCACATAGGGATTGAAGGATCGTTTTATAGTGCCATCCCCCAGGGTCAGATGGAACCACCAGGTGAACTCCCATCTCATCCAGGCATTTGTCCAGGGCACAAAGCCACCGGACACCTTGCCAAGTCCCAATTTCACAGGAAACCGCCTGCATTTTGTTTGTTTAATCGCTGGAAACTTAAGCAAATCAAAGTATAGACTTTCCAACTCAGATCGCAATTGGCAGTGGCAGTCGAAGCCTGTACTTAGTAATCCCAACCAATTGTATAAACGTTTGTTATGTCCACAACCCGAATTGTAATTGCGAAGCATCTCATTCACAGAGAACTGTACTGCTAAACTAATATGCTGATTGTACGTATTAACTTATGAATAAACATGAATTTGTATGGTAGTATTACTTATCGTTAAATGTACTATATGCTAGAAGTGCGAACTGTATCAAATGCAACACACATCTTAATATATTCTTAATAAAGTGAAAACACTGTATATTATCGTATGCACAGCTGCTAGAGCATTGGAACAATTTTAGATGTACGTTGACTATATATTTCTTGCACCTTTAGCCCGGCACAGCTGCCAGCTAATTTGTTTCTCAGTTTGGCAAGTCTTCCGACCATCCAAGCGTGTCTTGGCCCAAACACAATTTGTCAAATAAATTGACGCAAATCAAAACGTTGGAGCGATCATTAATTATAAATTGGGAGATGGGCATTGGGAATTGGAAATTGGGAAAAGTATTCACCGCAAAATGATTGTGATGTGAGGTAATTTCGTTGCTGTGGCTTTTGATTGATTCGATGGGGAGCGAAGGCTCTCGAGCGGATTTGTAATGTCGACGAGCCGAAAGATACACCAGATACCCTACGGTGAAAGGTCTCTGGGGCTGTGAGTTCCATTGAACCTTGGATGGTGCAACAAGTGGCCAGTGCCAGTGCAATAAAAACAAGAATGAACAATAAATCCGCAGCTGGCGACCTTATCAATCCCATTATGCTGCTCTTCAGTTGATGGGGCCGCGCCCAGGGAACTATAGATTAAGCAGCTCTACAGATACATGTGTTCCGGAAAATTTCCAGTTTATTTCTCCACAATGGAGCCACAAATTAGCCAGATGCCCACGCACTCCGCACTTGATCTTGACCATAAAGCAATTGGCAACCTCAACTTGGCCTAATTGGCTACGATTCGATTTAATTCGATTTGGCTCGGTTTAGTTTGGCTTAGCGGTTGCCAAAATCCACCAAAAACAGAGAAAACGGTACATATTCATATGCTAATTTTAACATTTTATTGTAGTTTTGAATCTATATATATGATTTTGCTCATGCAACACGAAATACGGCTTCAATACAGCGACGCAAATTAGCACAACGGCCAATAAAATATTGAAAATTGGCCTTTATTGGCTGAGATTCTGTGGCGTCATACCTTTTGGGTGATGTGGTTATGGCGCTATTGGGCTCTTCTCTAGCGGAAGAATTCTACCTTTCGGTTTCGGTTTCGATCGCATCGTTCCGTTCGTTAATCAAATTGTAGCCCCGCTTTGTGTTCCTTGTTCATTAGCCTCCTGCTCTTACCCACTTCGAGTTTTATTATTTGTTTTATCAATTTATTTATGGGATGACTCATTCCGAGAGGTTCGTATTCATTGATAGGTGCCAACGTATGACACACGCTGAAATTCAAGAGAAATACGCCACTGTGGCGAAAGAGTTAAGAGGGTCCTCAAGGCTGGCTACTGTTTTGTCTCTTCGATTGCAGTGCTTGACATTCGGGCTTTAAATTATCATAATTTATTGCAGAGCATAATTATCCATACTCTAACTGAGTGGAGATAGACAGGGGCGCTCAAATAGGACTGACGGCGAGCAAACATGCACAAACATTCCAAAACATTGCATAAGCAAATCAAACAGATCTAACAACATTAAACGAGATAACAGACACAGTTTTGCCCAGATAAGATACGCTTGGTATGCATATATCTTCATCGATATTTCAGTCACGCCACGACTTATGCTGAAGCCCGTGTAAACACATGAATTAACTTTTTGCTTGGAAACCGTCAGTATCTGAATGTAAACAAATCAATAGTGCAGGGCGGTCTAGTGAGCACCGCGTTCCATATCGGCAGCTATTCGTTTCTTATCTGTCCACTGAGTGAGAGCCCAGAACACCAAGAGAAAGAAATACATTCATTCCGGCAATTGTAAACTTATGGGCTGTCACTCGTCAAAGGTTATATTGAGATAAGCACCGGAAGCAATGCAAATTTCCGAACTCAAAAATGAAATATAGCAAGATTTATTTCCCAGCGAACTTTTGCCCTAGGTTCCGGTACTAACCGATAGTTTATTTGGCCTAGCTAGAGCGATACTTCGCAGTGCAGCCTTATCTAATCGCATGACGCGCACTGTCTCCCGCCGGAGCTCTCCAGTCTAGAGCTCTGGAGCTCCGACCAAGGTGCGCAATTAGCCAAACGGCGATTGGCAGTCGCCAGATTGGCATTGTGCTGGTTGGCAGCAAAGCAAAAGGCACTCGAGTCGAGTCGAGTTCCCGGTACTTTTGCGCATCCACTGCGGGTCACTAATGGAGCGTACTTGCCTCTAAAGGCCTTCAGATTTCGAGGTGTGCCAGGGAATGCGACGCAGCAGCTGGAAAATCGCCAATCGCTAATAGTAAACAAACAAGCTATTAAATCGCCGGCATGGAAAAAGTAAAACTGGTAAAAGCTTTTTCCTCAATCCAAAAACGTTTGCAAACAGAAGCGTTTCGGCCCATGACTCATTGGTATTGGGAACAACCCAGCCGATAAGGCCGCCAAAAAGTTGACCATATATTGGAGGCTATTAAGACTTTGTTAATTTCTTTATAAACGCGTTCATATTTGGGCTTAGAGCGTGGGTGGTCCTACATTTTTTGGAAAGTGAATGCAATCACGATCTCGTCTTACGCTTGTTTTTCAGGAATCGCTATCTTTGGCCCACTCGCTGTCGGACAAACCACTGCCCCCATCACCTTTGATACCCACAAGCTTGGAGGGCGGCAAGGTATCAGATCGCTTGAGCAAACTGAAGTGCAACTCGGAGAACTGGAAGCAGCGCATAGGTAAGTGCATAAAAGCCAGGAAAAACAGAGAACAATATAATTGAAATGCACTCCGCGCAGAGCAAACGGATGCCAAGAAGTTCACAGTCGCCGGCCGACTGCAAAAGAAGGCCCAATCCCCCGTGGAGCTTCAGTTCGAGCGTTCCGCCAATGATGCGGCCAAGAAGTGTCCCATGCTGGAGGTGCGCAGCGCCAATCAGCCGCAACTGGGTCTGGCCAAGAGCCCCTCCATGATGGTCACCTCCAGCACCACCAATAGTACCAGCAAGACCGCGCTCCGCAGCCTGAGTGTGAATCCCGAGGAGGAGGGACCAGCCAGCCTAAGCCGCTCCAACAGCAGCAGCTCGGAGTCCGATGGTGAGCGCAACTCCCCTCAGAACGCCAAGCAGAACAAGGAGCTGGCCAACAACAAGAGTGCCGCAGCAGCCACCAATGTGGGCGCCAGGATTCAAGTGCCCCGGCTGGACGACAAGGAGACATTCGAGAACTTCTTCTCTTCCAAGCCGAAAAGTGAGCAGAACGTTGAGCTCGAGATCAGCGCCTTCGATGACATCAAGCCCACTGAGCGGTAAGTTTCAGATGCCATTCAGAGAAAGTAAATTCCAAATTCCAAATAAAAATCTTCCTTTAATACTTAATAGTTTGGTAAGCAAGCGCCACGTGCAGGGTCCCAAAGGTCGACGGGCTGCACGCAATCCTCTCAAGAGTCTAGCAGCTCGTGAGGACATAAGTTCTGAGTACACAGAAATGAGGTCGGGCATAGCCGAGCGGGAACTACGACGCCTCAAGCTGGAGTCATGTAAGTGAAGCCGACACGCGGTCAATTGAATGCCCAACTAATGTTATCGATTCCACAGATGGTCATAATGCCAACTTGGCTGCAGAGGCCATAGCCGGATTAGCCTCCATTGAGGACTTCAAGTCTGTGGCACTCCGCTCCTCGTCAATTCCACTGCAGCAGATGTGGCTGCCCCACAAGCCAGTGATGTTACTCCATGTTAAGGGACGCACCCATGTCCAAACCCGGCTGGTGGAGCCCGTGCACAGCTCCCTGAACCGTGGTGATTGCTTCATCCTGGTCGCCGGATCGCAGCTTTTCCGCTACGTTGGATCCTTCGCCAACGTCATTGAGATCTCCCGAAGCAAGAAGATCTGCGCTGCCATTGTGGAGAACAAGGATCTCGGATGCACCGCCAGCCAGGAGGTGATCCTCACGGATGGCAAGTATTTGAAGGAGCGCCAGTGGCGTCAGTTCTGGCAACTTCTGGGCAAAAAAGAGGACGACCAATCCGATATAGCCGAATGCGGTCATGCCGATGAGGACGACGTGTTCGAGAGCAGTCTGATCGAAACTAACAAGATCTACGAGTACCAGGATGAGGCCCTCATTCCGATGGAGAAATTCTGGGGCTGCATCCCCAAGGTGGACATGCTGGACACGCGCAAGGTTTTGGTCTTTGACTTTGGCAGTGAATTGTATGTGTGGAATGGCAAGAATGCCCCATCGGATGCCAAGCGGGCTGCCATGAGATTGGCCCAAGAACACTTTGGTGCTGAGGATTCGGCGGATTATGCCGACTGCTACTTGAATCCCCTGAACTATGCCGCCATTGTGGGTCGTCGTGAGAGCACCAAGTACGCCAAAAGGTGCGCTCAGCGCCCAGAATGGTGTGTTCTCGGCAAGATCACCCAGAACATGGAGACGGTGTTGTTCAAGGAGAAGTTCAGTGACTGGCCAGAGATAGAGCGCGAGGATCTGGAGAAGGATTACCTTTCGAACGGAGTGCATATGGTGCGTGCTTTAAACGGAAGCGCTTTGCACAAGGGAGAACCATATCAGGAACCCAATCTGGTGCTCGAGCAGGCTAATTTGGGGCGTGGCAATTTCTACTACGATACGGACACCATGCGTCACTTCGATGTGATCACCAAGTCCACGGACAAATGGCAGATACACGAGTTCAACTTTGATGCGGCCAACAATCGCGACGACTACGGTCACTTCTACTCGGCGGAGAGCTATATAGTGCGCTGGATCTACCAGATTTCGGTCACAGTTCGCGAGCTCAGTGGCAAAGTGTCGAACAGGAGCACTGTGGGTCGGGACCGGTGTGTCTACTTCACCTGGCAAGGCCAGGACTCTAGTGCCAACGAGAAGGGCGCGGCTGCTTTGCTGACCGTGGAATTGGACAAAGAGAAAGGCGCCCAAATGCGGGTGTCACAGGGAGATGAGTGCACAGCCTTCGTCCGCCTGTTCCGGCAAATGTGGCAGCACCGTGGACGCAAGGAGCAATGTCTGGAGAGGCGCAGCGAGTGGAGACTCTACCAACTGCAGGGCAACGTCAACGAGGAGTCCCTCATCAAGGAAGTCGTCTGCCAGTCCAGTCACTTGCGATCCCGCAGCTCCATGCTGCTAATTCACGGCAGTCAGGGAAATGTAATAGTCTGGCACGGATCGAAGAGTGCGCCTCACACTCGTAACGTGGCCACAGGGGTTGCTCAAGATCTGATCAAGACGGTGCCCAAAGATCTCTTCAGCGCCGAAGCTGCCAACTTAACTGAGGTGGAGGAGGGTACCGAAGAGGATCAGTGCAAGAAGGCCTTGGGATTGAAGGATGAACGAAAGGAATACGGCAGCCTGCTTAAGGCCACCAAGTCGTTCGATTACCAACTAAGGATCTTCAACTTCTCCAGCACCCAGGGTGTTTTCAAAGCGCTTGAACTGAGCGATCCGCTGCGCTGCCAGGATCTGCACAGTGCGTACCCCTTTAGCCAGTCTCAGCTGTACAATGCAAGGCAGCCGACTATCTTTCTGCTGGACGACGGCGATGAGTTGTGGCTCTGGATGGGATGGTGGCCTCTGGAGGATGTGAAGAGTACGTACTGTATTGTAAAGTATGCTGAGTATGAACATTAGCTAACCTTTTTACTTATAGTAAACACCGATGAGCGAAGCAGTCCCACCAACGACAATCGCGCTGGAGTAAATCGCTGGATCTCAGAGAGACGTGCTGCCCTGGAGACAGCCGTTGACTATTGGCGCGCCAAGCACGGCGAGAACGAGAAAGAGCCCTTCCATGGCATCAGGGGCCAGGTTGTGTGGGCAGGCCTGGAGCCACTGGCCTTCAAGGCGCTATTTCCCGACTGGACAGACCGTCCGGATGTAAGGGAAATCAACGAAGAGGTACGGTGGTCAGCAGCAAATCATTTGCAGTATATTAAATGTTTTATCCCCCGCAGGATGGGCGAACTGATGCTTCCATATCGATCGGCACAATGCTGGCACAAATGACGCAGACCGAGTATCCCCTGGAAGTCCTCAAAGCGCGTCCACTGCCCGAAGGTGTGGAGCCCACCCGCCTGGAGGTCTACCTTAATGCGGAGGACTTCCGGGCGGCACTGGGATGCAGCCGGGCGGAATTCGAGCAGCTGCCCATCTGGAAACAGACCAAGCTGAAGAAGGAGCGAGGGCTGTTCTAGGAGAGAGGCACAATGCAACTTTATAGACTTGAACACAATCACAAAACACAAATCAACCACTTTTATAAGCACTTTTTGTAGGCGGCGATGCTATTGCAACGGACACAGACAGATCGGAACTATCGTATTCTATAGGCCTATATAGTTTAGCATATACACACGTGCGCATATCCCTATATACTCTCTATTTTACACATATTACATAGCCTTTATATATGTAACGACTATTATGCAAGTGCACGATGCCTGGCAATAAATTTCAACTCGCTTCATTCGGTAGCTGTGCGGAGTTTCGAGTTCTTCTATTATATACCTGTACATAATATTAAGTTGAGTTGTTTTACCATTATCTTATTTGATATTTTATCGATTTAACGAAATTGCATTTGTTCAATCTCTGCAAACACCAAAAAGCCAACCAGCTCTCTCGTTATGTCATTGTTTTCAATTCGAAATCATTTTAATGTTAGCTTTATTTCCCTAATTGTATAACTATGTATTTGTGTTTATATTATGTTAAAAACTATTGCGCATATTTTATTTTTATTAAATAACATTTTATTATATTTTACCTTTTCGTTGATCTTTTATTTGTTTGGGGAACTTTGGGGATCGATCATCTGGAATTTCTTTTTTTTTTTTTTTTTTTTTTTTTTTTTTTATTGTAGTTTATTAAGATATACAGGATAGCTATGAACCCTTTTATTACCTTATTTTCTATTGTTTCTGCCAATTGGCGCTCCGGCTATAGGGAATATTTAATATAGCTTTTTCTAGTTTGGTCTAATACTCTCATGTTGTTTTATAATTAATGTTTAGCTATTAAGCTATTGTTATCTTAGCACTAAGTCTCTTGGTTGACGTCTTTTGATCCTCTGCCTCGGTCGAGTAATGGTGAGATCATTAGCGAGACGATTCCTGTGGTTCATCAGTCTTGAGTTGTACCGACTGGAGTGGAAGTTGATTTGTTGTAGTACCGTAACTAGTTTTAGGTCCCTATGTAGCACGCTATTTCGAATGTACCACTCACAGCCTGTAATTTGTCTCGCTATTTTGTTCTGGGCCACCTGAATTTTTTTGATTTGGCTATCTCTTGCTATCCCCCAGATTTGGCAACCATATTGCCAGATGGGAGCAATGACCTGCTTGTATAGGGTGAGCTTATTTCGGGTGGAGAGTTTACTGTTGCTTCTTAGGAGCCACCAGTGCTTTGTCACAGCTGCTCTCACCCTTGTTTTGATGGCTGCTATGTGGGGAGCAAATGTGAGCCGGCGATCTAATGTTATGCCAAGATATTTGGCCGTACTACACTGCTGTACCATCTCCTCACCTAGTTGAACAGCAGGTGGTGTTTTCCTCCTTAGTGAGAAGCACACGTTAGCTGACTTTTGACCATTTATGCCAATATTCCATCTTCTTGCCCATTTCTCGTACCTGTCAGCGTACTCTTGTAGGCCGTCTGCTGCTTCATATTCGCAGGATGATCTGTAAGTAACACAGACGTCATCGGCGAAAGTGGCTAGAGTCATCCTGTCAGGGTTGGCGTCCATACTAGCATTTGGCTGCGGCATATCGTTGGTATACAGACAGTACAATAATGGACCCAGTACACTTCCTTGAGGCACTCCTGCACTGACCTCATGTATCCCTGAGGTTGCGGAGTGGAAACGTACTGCGAACTGCCTATTCGCCAAGTAGGACCGCATTAGCAAGTAATACGGTGCTGGTAGTGTCATTTTTATTTTGGCCAATAGGCCAATATGCCAGACTCGGTCGAATGCTTCCTTAATGTCCAAAAAGAGCGCATTGCAGTATTCTTTCTCATCGTAGGCTTGCAATATTTGGTCAACGATGCGGTGCAGTTGTTCTATTGAACTGTGACCTGCACGAAATCCAAATTGGTGATCAGGGATGGCTCTTCTGGATGACATTATCCCAGCAATTCGGGCAGAGATAAGTCTCTCAAAGATCTTCGAGATTGATGGGAGGAGACTGATTGGCCGGTAGGATGCTGGGTCACTCTCTGGCTTTCCGGGCTTGTGGATCATACTCACTAAGCCAAATTTCCACTGGGCAGGGAAGTAATGCAACCTCAACATAGCGTTGAAGATCAACGTTATGTAAGAGATCGCGTGAGTAGGCAGCGCCTTCAGAGTAGCGTTGCAGATGATGTCGTGGCCTGGTGCTCTTTTAGAGGATTGGCGGTTTATGATCGCTGATATCTCACATTGGTCGAACGGGAGAATCGGTGCATCCATTTGCAGCGCTTGCTCGAGGACTTCCTGCGTTTCTTGTTTTTCCTGTTGGCTGGCAAGGTTAAAGGGCTTGAACCGTTCAGCTAAGTGCCTAGCAAACACTTCCGCTTGTTCCTTGTCAGAACGACACCATGTTCCGTTCTCATTAGCTAGTGGTGCCTTCCTGGGGCACCTCCTTTTTATACTACGCGTCGCTTTCCATAGAGAATGCCTCGCTTCGCTTCCAGTACCAGTGTTGGTAAGCCTCTCGTCGAACCATGCAGCTTTATGGTCCACCAGTTTCTTACGGAGAATATGTTGAGCTCTGTTCCACTCTAATTTGTCTAGAGGGTGGCGGGACCTCATCCATCTTGTCCGAAGTCGTCTCTTTTCAGCAATTAAAATAAGAATTTCCCGTGTGAGGGGTATACCTGCTGCTACGGGTCTCTGTGTCAACGTTCGTGTAGCTGTTATGGCTGCCGATTTCACCTTTACAGCAAATAGGTTGATTGCGTCCTCAATATCTTCTTCTGAGTTGATTTCTATATCAAGATACAGAGATTGCTCTAGAAGACCGCAGAACATTTCTAAGTTGGTGTGTCTGGTTATCAATCGATCTGCTGTAGGATATGTCAATGCTGTGACATCCAGCGTTATGATAAGAGGCAGGTGATCAGAGCTGAGATCAGGAGCCGATGTTATGGAAGCATGAATATCGAGAACGCCTTTCGTTACTGCAAAATCAATGCAGCTTGGAGTTCCTCTCCTACCGTACGGATACCGAGTAGGACTGCCTGTAGCCAGCGTGTTGACTTCCGTACTAAGAATAAGATCCGCGAGAGCGCGACCTCTTTGATTGCATCTTCCTGAGCCCCAGAGCCAGTGAGATGCATTCCAGTCTCCTGCAATTATAAATTTTCGATGATTTAGCGGTAGTATGTCAGCAAATTCATTTGTTGTCCATGTGAAACGAGGAGGACAGTAAATCGCACCAAAGTCGATCACACCAAGCGCTGTGTTTATTCCTGCAGACGCTATTTGTACTTTTTCGCTGGTAACAGGGCTCAGAGGATAATGCACCAAGCTAGATTTTATAAAGATCGCAGCTCCTCCTCTAGCATTGCCAACACTTGGATCATTAGCTGGATATGCATCAAAACCATATATTTTTGGCACAAAGTTTCCTCGGCAGTGAGTCTCACTAATTAGTATGACATCGATCTTATTTTGTCGCGCAAAGCACTCAAGCTCTGGCAGCTTCGTGGAAACGCCATCGGCGTTCCACATTAGAATGCGCAGCGGCATCATATTGTTGATCGTTGCGCTTGGAGGGCAGCAAGCAAATTAAGAATTTGCCCCTGCTGCTGTGTCTGCTGTTGCTGCTGTTTGAGCATCATCATCATCATCTCCGTCTGTTTATCCTGTAACGAGCGGAGTGAATCGATATTTCCATTGAGGGTTCGCATCATGTTTTCAATGTTATTTTCAAGAGATGAGTGATATGCCGTATTTCGGGATCTCGATGCTGAACGGTTGCGGTTGTTGTCTCGTTGAGCTGCAACTCGAGATCTCGATGTCGAGCGGTTGCGGCTGTTGGTTCGTTGGTTTATGTTTGGGTTGTTCTGCTGTTCATGTTGAGAGACATGCACGCCTCCCCTAGCTGCATCTGCATAGGAGACACCTTGACGAGTGGCTACTCTTGGTCTGCTCCTAGTTTGATCATTTGTCTCGGTTTGGCTATTCACAGTAGGCCGAGCTCCAACTCCACGCTTGGGCCGAGATCGTTGCAGGAACGCCTGGTATTTGGGGCACCCTGAATAGCTTGCAGGGTGCTGTTGTCCGCAATTGTAGCACGTGCACGGTTCACTGCGCGGCCTAGTACAGTTGCTGGCAGCGTGCTCGCCAGCACATTTGACGCAAATATGCGCTTTACGACAGTATTTAGCCGTATGGCCAAACTGTTGGCATCGATGGCATTGCACAACAGCATTGCGCTTTCGGAGGGGCTCAACGATAACCCGCATATGGCAAAGTGCCTTGACTAGCAGGATCTCCTTATTATTGGCCGCGGCGGCAATATTCACGAAGAACATATTTACCGGCTTGGCTACAGGGGTGCCTGGCTCACTGCGCCTCTGGGGCAGATGGACGTCAAGCACCTTGTGTCCGAATTTTTCCAGATCCTCCTTAATCTGGCTATGAAGCGTGCTGTGGTGTAAGCCTTTAATGCAGACTTTAAACGGCCTATCTTCCTTCAGTTGGTAGCAATGGAATTCATATTTTTCCTGCTCAAGCCAACTGACAATGCTACGAAAAGTGGTAGCGTCATTTGCATAGAGTCTCATCATACCGCCAAGTGAAGCCCTAGCTTCAACTTTATTTATGTCAATTATTTTCCTGAGTTCTTGCATGAGCAGAGAGACGTTTTCAATACCTTCCATCACTATGGGCGGTGGTTTGGGCTGCGTCTTGTTGGGAGAACCTGAGGTGCCAGGAGAGTTAGCGGCCCGCTTCGCCGCAGCAATGGCAGCTTGATGACTTGTACTAGGCCTCTCACATAGCACGTCGTTGGCGTTCTCAACTTCCATGTCATCTGGGTGAAGCGCTAGCAATTCGAAACGGTTTGAGCTGCCACTATAGTTCGATTGAGGTATGGGAACGTTATCACCGTTCTTGCCGAGGTTAGCTTTTTTCCCATCAGTCTTTGGGGAGGCGCATGACTTGCGCTTTATTGTTTGAAAGCGCTGCGAGGCTTCACCTGAAGCAGGGCTTTGGTAGCGCGAGGCGGTTCCTGATGTGGACCCATTGACGCTCGAAAAAGCAGATGCCAATGAAGCTGCTGTGGCGGCAAAATCGGATACTTGTAGAGTATCATTATCTGAGGGCGCGTTGACGGCATTTCTAAGTTCCTCTCCTAGAACTGCCTTGTTCTTATTAGTAGCACTAGTAGTCGTTGACTGCGGCTTGTCAAATTGTCCGGGTTTCATCGCACGCCTAAGAGTATGCAATAATATCAATTGATCTTGGGGCAGAATAGAAACTAAA